GGAGGAGGAGGGAGGGAGGAGGGGGAAGCGGAGGGAGGAGGAGGAGGAGGAGGAGGAGGAGGAGGAGGAGAAGGTGCCAGCTGCACTCCTGCCACGCCGCCTCCGCGGCCTCTCGCGGCGAGGCCTCGCCGCTCTCGGCCTCCGCCCCCGCACCGCAGGCCTGCCCGCCCTCGGCGAGCCCCGTGCCCTGCCAGGTGACGCGCGACGCCCGCCGGCCGCTGGCGCGCGCGGGCCGGGGCGCGCTGGAGGTCTCCGCCCTGCTGGTCAGAGAAGGTAAAGGTACCTATACAGGTACCCTTCGGCCGTTTGCCTCTTTTTGGACCCCCTCGGAGACTCTCGTCGCTACCTCTGGATTCGCCTCGAAATTCTGGTCAGAACGCACCCCGGGAGAGGTCTGGGGGGTAGCCGTATTGGTACTTGTTGGTTGTCCCAGTTAAGGCTAAGACCAAGACGAGGATCACATCGGGTGAGGATCTTAGCCGCCCCGATACGCAGCACGCAGCCCGTAGCGTGTTGACACGGAGCTCAACGCGCAGACTGAGAACGTACGCGTGGCGCGAGACCTTCGCCAAAACGTGGGCCAAATCGAGCCGACACGCAGCGTGTCAACCTGGCTGTTTTGAACACGGCACGTGTTGCGTATCAAAACTGAGCATAGTGTTACCGATCCCCATCCCCACCTGCGTGGGCTGGGTCCCACTGGCCGATTTACCCCTTGGATGGGGATGTAGGCTGCTCTCTTCGGGTTTCGAGGGGCATATCCCAAGCTGAGGTGGTGAGACGGTGGGGCTCGAGATGTGGATGGGGATGGGGATAGGGATCGGGTAAGCGATACTGGAAAACGGGCGTATCAGGGCAGCCAGGGTGAAGATAGATCGAGAATCTCTGCGATCCGGCGGCTCTGGAGGATGTCTCGGGCGCCGTGGCCTTCTCAGAGCGTTCTGGAACGCTCTGGGAACGCTCTGGGAGCGCTCTGGAACAGATCTATTCTCGTCCTGTAGCCCCGCCCGGCCTGTCCACCTCGCCGTTCGCGATCTGATCGCGCCTCCGCTGCACCTTGGGGGGAAGGGGGGAGAGGGCAGTGGCCAAGACGAAGCGCAAAAAAGGCGTCGGTGCCGATATTGGTCACCGTCCGTCTTGGCCACCATCAATTCGTGGATCATCCTGGCGAATCGGCGACGGCCAGAATGGACCATGGCCAAGATCAGCGCCGACAAGATCCCGCAGCATCCTGGTCATGGTCAGCGTCGGAGCGTCTTTCCCGGACCCCCGACATCAGGGGTCCTTCATGACGTGGATCCCCAGTGGGCTCGACCCATTCCCCAGGACCGGTTCTTCGGCCCGAGTCGTCTCTGGCGGCCCCAAGGGCTGGGAGGGGCCCCCGGAGACCGAAGATGGAGAAACAACTCTCGCCGTTTCTTGTCTCACGACCCGAGGGGGTCTGGGCGCCTCTCTCGGCGTCGACGAGATCCCGCAGCATCTCTGGGAGGCCATACGCAGGTCCGCCACCGTGCCGCCTGGGCACGGCGTGGGCTTGCCCTCAGGCCCTGGGCCCCATTCTCTGAGCCTCAGTCCTCGCTCCCGAGGAGTCTCTACGCAGCCCGGGCCCCTCGCCCTCAAATCTCCCGGGGGGCTTCCCGCGTGCTCCCCGGGGCTTCCCGCCAGCCCCGGTGGGCGCTGCCACGCGGTGGCGCGTGGATCCTTCGGGCCCAAGCGTTCCCAAAGACGGGCCAGGAGGGCCGAAAAGCGGCCTGCAAGACGGTTATAAGAGGGCCCCGAGACGCCCAAAGATCGGCACAAGACGCCCAAGATGGCCTCAAGGTGGCCCAAGAAGCGTCCAAGATGCCGCAAGAGGCCTCCCAAGAGGGCCTCAAGAGGCAAAAACCATTGCTTTGTCCAAGGTTGTTGAAGGCGATCTCGCCTTTTCTGCTTTCCGGCGCTCCAAGACGGCCCACGAGACCCAAGAGGACTCCAAAGGGGCCCAAAGACGGCCCAAGATCGCCCAGAAGACGGCCCCCTGGAGGCCCCAAGAGGCGCCCAGGAGGCCCCACAAAGGCCCCAAGAGGCCCCCAAGAGACCCCAAAAGGCCCTGAAGAGGCCAAAAAGATGCCCCAAGAGGCTCTCGAACGGCCCCCAAGAGGCCTCCACGAGAAGCCCCAGGCCTTCCACGAGATCCCAACGAACTTCCACTAGGCTTCATACCCACAACCCAGACACGGTTGCGGGATGTGCCGAAGGCCGTTCAATCCGCCGCCCCCTGTTGATTCATCAAAGGGGTGCCTGGCGTGTTAGACCCTATCGGTTTGGGTTTTGGTTCTTCTTCCAAAAGAAATCCCCCTGGGGCTTCGGCGCAGCGCGCCGGCCACCGGGAAGGCCCCCAAACCAGCACAACGTCCACAAACATATCTTCATGAGAGCTCAAGATGAAGGACTCCTGAGATGGTCACGTTGGCCAAGACTGAACTCCAGGATGGCCCTAGATGGTCCAAGTTGCCTCCAAGTCTGCCGACGAAGCCACCCACACAGCCCAAAATGGCTCCAAGATGCCCCCAAGTCAGCCCAAGAAGCTTCCGATATGGTCCAAGACGGTCCAAGAGGCTCCCAAGACGCACCCCAAGACGTCCTCCAGGAGGGCCCGAAGAGGCCACCTTAATTTGTTTCCTTCAAATTTTTGACAGGTTTTGGCATTTCCTTCTTCTCGGCCCTGCGACAGCCCAGGTTGGCCCTAGATGACCCCGAAATCGCGAAAAGATCGCCCCAACGAAACGCCTCAGAACGGCCCAAGAAACCTCCAAGACGGCCCAAGAGGCCTCCAGGACGGCCCAAGAGGCCTCCAAGACGGCCCTGGAGCACCCCAAGAGGGCCCCAAGTCGGCCCAGAGGGCCCCCAAGACGGCTTCCGTCGGCGTCAGACGGCCTAGGGGCCCTAACACTCGGCCCAAGATGGCTCTACGATGGCCCAAGACGGACCAAGAGGCCCCCAAGAGGTTTCCAAGACGGCCAACAGGGCTCCAAGAGGGCCTCCAGGATGGCCCGGAGAGGCCCAAATCATTGAGCTCCCATCGGTGTTTGAAGGATGTTGGCATTTGCTGTTTCTTCGGCCTACCGATGGCCCGACACGGCCCAGGAACCCCCAAAGATCACCCCAATATCGCCCAATAGGCTCCAAATATTGCCCCAAGACGGCCCAGGAGGCCTCCAAGACGCCCGAGATGGCCTCCGAGACGGCCCTGGAGCACCCCAAGAGGGGTCCCAAGTCGGCCCTGAGAGGCCCCCAAGACGGCTTCCGACGGCCCAGGAGCCCACCGAGACGGCCCAAGATGGCTCTGCCCAAGACGGCCCAAGAGGCCCCCAAAATGTTTCCAAGACGGCCCAACAGGCCTCCAAGAGTGCCCCCAAGAAAGCCCGACGAGGCGCAAATCATTGACTGAGTTTGGCATTTGCTTTTGCTCGGCCTCCCGATGGCCCGAGACGGCCCAAGAGCCCCCAAAGATAGCCCCAAGATCGCCCAAGAGGCCCCTAAGGTGGCCCCAGAACGGCCCAAGAGGCCCCCAAGACTGCCCCGAGAGGGCCCCAAGACGGCCGAAAGCCTCTGCGTCCCCTCTCCTCGGGCGGGCGCTTGTGTCGGCGGCGGCTGGCGACGGCGGCGGGGACGACGATTTCCATTTCTGGGCCGGCGCCGGCGCCTGTGGCGGCGGGCGGCGGTGGCGAGGAGCGTCGACGAGGACGACGGTGGTTTGTGGTGGTGGTGGTGGTGATGGTGGTGTGGTGGTTTGTGGTGGTGGTATTGGTGGAGGTGGGTTGTGCTGCTGGTAGTAGTGGTGGTTGTGGCGGTGGTGGTGGTGGTGTGGTAGATTGTGGTGGTGGTGGTGGTAGTGGTGGTGGGTTTTTGTGGTGGTGGTGGTGGTGATGGTGCGGTGAGTTTTGGTGGTGGTTGTGGTGGTGGTGGTGGCTGTGGTGGTGGTGGTGGTGGTGGTGGTTGTGTGGTGCTGTTGGTGGTGGGGTGGTGGTGGTGTGTGGTGGTGGTGTGGTGGTGGTGGTGGTCGTGGGTTGAGGCGGTGGTGGTGGTGGTAGTGGTGGTGGTGGTGGAAGTGGTGGTAAGTGTCGCTGCGTCCCCGCCGTCGCCGGCGCCAGCGCCAGTGCCGCTGGCCGCGCCAGCGCCGTCGCCGCTGGCCGCCGCCAGCGCCGGCGCCGGCGCGAGGGGGGGGGGTGAAACCCCCCGCACCCCCCCTGGCGCCCAAGGGGGGGGGGTTGAACCCCCCCCCCCCTGGGCTGCCTCTGGTCATCGTCGCTGCGTCCCCGCCGTGGGCGCTGCTGGCGGCCGCCAGCGCCGGCGCCGGCGCCGAGGGGGGGAGGTTGAACCTCCCTCCCTTTGGGAGGGGAGGGGTGTTTTTTCGGGTGAGGGAAGGTTTGGGGGGGGGGGAGACCCTCTGGTTTTGATCGACGGCGCCGAGTGTTGGGGGGGGGGCCCACCCCCAGGTTCGAAACGCGCCGCCGAATGTTCCCCAGGCAAGCGCCCGTGAAACGCGTTCTCCAAGAGGCATCCAAGACGCCCAAGATGGCCTCCAACACAGCCCTGGAGCACCCCGAGAGGGCCCCAAGTCGGCGCAGAGGGCCCCCAAGACGGCTTCCGACGGCGTCAGACGGGCCAGGATGCCACCAAGACTGCCCAAGATGGCTCCAAGATGGCCCAAGACGGCCCAAGAGGCCCCCAAAAGGTCTCCAAGACGGCCCAGGAGGCCTCCAAGAGGGCCCTCAGGATGGCCCGAAGACGCCCAAATCATCGATTGTCAATAAGTTGTTGAAGGAGTTTGGCATTTGCTTTTTGTTAGGCCTCCCGATGGATCGCCCAAGAGGCCTCCAAGGTGGCCGCAGAACGGCCCAAGAGGCCCCCAAAACGGCCCCGAGAGGGCCTCAAGACGGCCCCAGAGGCATCCAATAGGCCCAAGATGGCCTCCAAGACAGCCCTGGAGCATCCCAAGAGGGCCCCAAGGCGGCCCAGAGATGCCCCCATGGCCCAAGACGGCTTCCGACAGCGTCAGGCGGGCCAGGATGCCACCAAGACAGCCAAATGGGCCCCCGAGAAGCCCCCCAAGGCACCCAAGAGGCCAAAGGAGGCCCCCCAAGATGCCTCCAAGGGCCCTCAGAGGCTTTTAAGATGCCCCCTCCTTTTTCCTCCTCTTCCTGATCTTTCCCGCTATCCTCTCCCAAGTGTTCCCCGAAGGGCTTCCAAAACGGCTGGGGGAACACATGGTCCGATAGCTTGGCAAAGCTCTTGCCACAACGCTCGGCCACATGGGCGATTCCAACAGACAGGGGGCGGCGGTGATTCGCCGTAGACGTCGTCGATACTGATACCGCTATTCCCTGGACCTCTCCTGGGGCGCGTTCTGGCCAGCATTTCGAGGCGAATCCCACGGAGACGACGAGGACCTCCCAGGAGTCCCAAGAAAGAAGAGAACGAGGGAGTAGCGATATGGTTACCTGTTCCTCCTTTGAGTCATTGTCCCCAGATCCACGACGTCATGATTTTTCCATGACGTCGACCACCCAAGGTCTCGACCCATTACCCATAACGAGTTTTCATGCCGAGCAGTTTTTGATGGTCCCGATGCCCTTGGGGGGCCCAAGAAGCCGAGCATGGCGAAAAAACTCTCGTCGTAATTTTTGGTGCGACCCGAGGGGGTCTGTGTCTTTCTTCCCTCGAGCACCCGCTTCTCGATCGCCCTGTTCACCCAGAGGCGCTCCGAGTACCCCAGGGACGCGCCCACCGAGCTCTCGCGCAAAGGCCGCAAGGCCTCGCGGAAGCGGTAGGCGAGCGCGCCGGTGGTGCTGAAGGTGTCGGCCGAGCTGGCGTTGGTGACCTTTTGCACGAGTCTGCACAGCTTGTCCACCTCTAGAACGAAGGGCCCCAAGGACACACACATCAATAGACATAAATCCCAAGATGTCCGAAAGTTGTTTTCTGCACTTCCGTTTTCCCCTCCACTTCCCATATTCTTTCATCTCCCTCCTCACAGAAAAGAACCAAGAGATCCGACGCTCCGAAAAGAATTTGAGCGGCGGGTTTCAATCCCATTTTCGGCCTCGGGGGCCCTAGCTGGGCCTCTGGACCGTCAACAGTCTACTCGGGACGTAAAGCCGGCCCTGGGGAAGTGGTCCAGATCTCATCGAAAAGATTGGAGCGGTCGGATGTCTGCGGAGGAACCACCTCCCCAAACCCCCACAAACATGGACAAATCACGACGGAACATTCTTCTCTATTCTCGGCCTCTGAGGGCCCCTACCTGGCCTCGGGGCCGTCAGAAAACAACTCGGAATGAGAAACTGGCCCCAAGGAATAATGTGTCGAGACCTCTGGGGTGAACGTTATGAAAAATCATGACGTCGGGGCCTGGGTCTAGAGAGGAAGAAACAATTGCATAAGCATAATGTTTCGGAGCTCCGCAGAGCTTCCTCGGTTCTCGGGCGGGCGCTGGACCCTCCTCCCTGGCGCGCGGGGCTCCGAAAGCTGATGCTTATGACGCCTTCTGTTCCTCGAACCTCGTGCTCGTCCTGGCAAGCATTGAGCTCTTTGGCGAGCGTCTTGCAGAACTGCTCGCCCGCCAGCTTGCCCACGTCCCGGCCCAGCCTGGCCACCAGCGGGTCCGCCTTGGCCGCCCCTCGGGGCGCCAGCAGCGCTCCGGGCGCGGATCCCGTCTTGGAATTCGCGCGCTTGGACCCAGCCCGCGACACGGACTCGCTGAAGAGCTCCGTCGCTTCGTCGCTCCTGGAGAGGAACCAGGACACGGAGCCCTTGAAGTTGTCCTCGGCTACACGCAAGAGTGGCCCCAAGCAAGAGTGACCTCTGGTGAGCGGCTCCACGGGGGGCGCGGCGCGGTCAAACCCAGGCGCGCAAGCCGCTGCTACCGCTTCGCATCCAGCGATCGGAGGACCCTGTTGGGCACGCACCAATGGTCACTCCGGCGGAAGGTCACTCTTACGTCTAATCGATGTAAGACGAAACCAGGACGAGGATAGTCGGGTAAAGATAAATCGAGAATCTCTGAGATTCAGCGGTTCTGGAGGATGTCTCGGGCGCCGCGGCCTTCTCAGAGGGTTCCGGAACGTTCTGCGAGCGTTCCAGAAGGTTCTGGAACGGATTTATCCTCGTCCTGGCCCCGCCCGACGATGTCCTTCGAGGCCTCGGGCCGCGGCGGTGGCGTCTCCAGCAGTGGCTCCGGCAGGGCACAGCCTGGCGCCGGCCAGAGCAGGGCGCTGCTGGGCTTCAGCAGGCAACTGGCGTTCGACGAGGGCCCGCTGCCCTCGTGGTCCTGCCGGGGCACCTCCGGCGGCTCCACCAGGAAACCGAGGGGTGCCTGTCATGAGCGACGAGCCCAGAGACCTGACGCTCCGAAAAAAATTGGAGCGACGGGTGTTTGACCGATTTCGCCTCCTGGGGCCCTCGCCGAGCCTCGGGACCGTCAAAGGACTACTCGGGACGAACAGACTGCCCTAGGGAAGTGATCCAGACCTCTGGGGCCCACGCATCGAACAAAATTGCAGTGGCCAGATGTCCGCGACCCCAAGGGCTTGACGGCTCTTCTCCAATCCACGTGCGGGAGCCAGGCCAGATAAGTGATTGATAGAAGTAGCATGAGGAAAGCTTGGGTACTGATACATCTGCGTACGTTCACGTCGGGCATGTCCTCCTACAGGCGGATCAAATAAAGGAATACGTAACGAAACCATATTCAATAATAATCAGACATAGGTAAAACAAAATCGTCCCCTGACTGTATTTTCACTACTTATATCTGTTCCTCCTGTAGAGGGGCATGCCCGACTTAACTCTAGGGAGACCTGGAGCAAATCGCGGACTCTCCACCGCGAGCCGAGGGACAGCAGAAGCTGTCAACCCCTGAACGCGAACACCCCTGATAATGTCAGGGCCCTCGCAGCTGCGCCATCCCATGGGCACGTGCCGCCCGGGGCACCCGCGCAAGGCCGTCCTGCATCCTAGGAGGGACCGCGAGGCCGTGGATTTTGTTTTATTATTATTATTATTATTCTTTTTTTATTATTATTATTTCTTTTTTATTTATTTTTATATATATATATATATATATTGTTTTGCACCCCGCCCTCGGGCCTGGGCAGGGTGCCTCGCCCGCGCCGAGGCTGCTCTGCCCTCGTCGACGCCGCGGTAGGGCGAGACCGGGCTCGGGGCCGCGAGGGCCCCCCGGTCCGCCTTGCCCCTGGCCGAGGCCGAGGCCCACTGCCTTGGGCGTGGCTTAATGGGGGGGTCATAAATGGGGGGGGGTCAGAAAAGGTCCCCTTTCGTGCCCCTTTCGAGCCCCTCCGGACCCCCAGGGGGCTCGTTTGGGTACCGTTTGGGTACCTTTTCGGACCACCCTCGCCACCCCCCCATTTATGACCCCCCCATTACGCAACGCCCAACTACCTCACGATGCTGGCTGCGCCGGCAGCTCGGAGCCCCGACTGCCGCCGCATGGCCGACGGACCGCCGCTGGGGCCCCAGCCGGTGCTCTTCGGATACGCCGGTGCCGCCTTGGCTGGGACGCAGAAGAGACGTGCTACATCCCCGTAAGTATAGTGTTCTACGTTCCGCGTCCTCCTCGGAGGCGCGCGTCCGACCCGAAGATATAGTGCACCCATGTGGTAGCACATCGTTTCCCGAGCGGTGCGGCCAGAGAGCGCCCGCCACGGCGCATATGGGCGACGGACACATGATATTAGTATGTTGGGGTGACGCCGACACGGGGGTGGGGCGATGGGGGCAAGAAGGCAGGTGCCACTTTTAAAGCTGCCCAGGGACTTCCAAGAGGTCTTCTCGGTACGGAGCCGAGCCCCCTTCGATGACAGCAAATGCTGAGGTGACACATCGGACGTCGGACAGCTGTACTTTTCCTCAGCAAGCTTTTCCACAACCCGGTCGGCAGGGCTCGAGCGCACGTGCTTTGAACACCCTCTGCAGGTCAAGAGGCTCGGCTCAGACAGCGTGAGGCCAAAGGGATTTTACGAGCACAAGCTTTCACACTAAAACTTGTTTAAGCCGTCGCCGCACCCACCTTCGCCCGATCTCCGACCCAAAAATCCTCATCCAATCCCGCGGGCCCCTCCCGGGATCCATCCAATTCAGCTGTCCCACGCCGCGAGGACAAATTACCCGGGCGAAAGACCCAACCATGTGCAGTCGTGAGCACCGCGTTGTGGCACCGCTTTCGGTGGGGCTCCCTACGGGGCCTCGGAACGTGTGAGGGATGTACGGATGGGCGGGGAACTGCATGCGAACTCTGCCAATGTGGCCGTCGGCAGAGCTACCCATGGGGCCACGGAGCGCTGAAATCGGGCGGGGAACATCATGCGAACCCTGCCACTGAGGCCTTCGGTAGAGCTCCCCATGGGGCCACAAAACGTGTGAGGGGATTGTGCCGAAATGGGCGGGGAACCGCACGAACCCTGCCACTGAGGCCTTCGGCGGGGCTCCCCATGGGGCCACGAAGCGTGTGAGGGGATTGTGCCGAAATCGGTGGGGAACCGCATGCGAACCCTGCCACTGAGGACTTCGGTGGAGCTCCCCATGGGGCCACGGAGCGTGTGAGAGGATTGTGCCGAAATCGGAAGGTAACCGCATGCGAACCCTGCCACTGAGGACTTCGGTGGAGCTCCCTATGGGGCCACGAAGCGTGTAAGGGGTGTGCCACAATGGGCGGGAACGACATATGGAGCCCTGCCAATGTGGCATTCGGCGGAGCTTCCCATGGGGCCACGCAGATTGTGAGGGGTGTGCCAGAATCGGCGGGAACCGAATGCGAACCCTGCCACTGGGATGCTCGGTGGAGCTCCCCATGGGGCCACGAAGCGAGTGAGGGGTGCAACAAACTGAGCGGGGAACCGCATGCGAATTCTGCTATTGCGGCCCTCGGTGGAGTTCCCCATGTGGCTACGAAACGTGTAAGTGGTGTGCCGAAAATTCGCGGGAAATCGCATGCGAACCCTGCGAAACCTTCGGTGGAGCTGCCCCAGGGGGCCATGAAGCGTGTGATGTGCCGGAATGGGCGGGGAACCGCATGCGAACCCTGCCACTGAAGCCTTCGGTGGAGCTCCCTATGAAACCACGGAACGTGTGAAGGGTCTGCCGAGTGGGCGGGGCACTGCACTCGAACCCTGCCGTTGGGGCCTTCGGCGGAGCTCCCTCAGGGGCCGGAGCGCGTGAGTGGACTGTGCCGAGATCGGTGGGGAACCGCATGCGAACCCTGCCGCTAAGGCCTTCGGTGGAGCTCCCCATGGGGCCACGAAGCGTGTGAGAGATGTGCCACAATGGGCGGGGAACCGCATGCGAACCCTGCAAGTGGGGCCTTCGGCGGAGCTGCTCATGAGGCTACGAACCGTGTGATGGGTGTGCCAAACTGGGCGCGGAAGCGCATGAGATTCCTGCCATTGAGGCCTTCGATGGAGCTCCCTATGGGGCCACGAAGCGCGTGAGGGATGTGCCCGAACGGGCGGGGAACCGCATGCAAACCCTGCCATTGGTGCCTTCGGTGGAGCTCCCCATGGAGCCACGGAACGTGCGAGGGGTGTGCGGAGATGGGCGGATAACTGCTTGCGAGCAGTGCCACTGATGCCCTTGGTGAAGGAGGCAAGGATGGGAGGAGGGAGGAGGGGGAGGAGGGGCGAGGAGGAGGAGGAGACGCGGGGACCGCCCTGTCAAAACGATGACCCAACACCACAGGACGGTTGGGAGCCACTCCAACGACGACTGCCCAGACGCCACCCTGCCCCTTCCGCTCGCCGCCGGCCGCCCTCGCGGACATCGCCCCCTTCTGCGGGAACTCCTCGCAGAGCAGACAATCGAACAAGCACGCACGACTACTCGGCGGTGGACAAATCTCCCTTTAGTAAACCTTCCCTTAGTGAAAACGGCCTGGGGCCGAAACCGACGGACCTGGACCCGCAAAAATGACGGCCCCGACGCCCTCTCGGCAAACCGAAAACGGACAATTCCTCAATCGACGTGTCGGGGCAGGAGGCCTCTCCACCCCCGCACCATCAGGAGGTCCGCGCGGCTGCTCCTGGGTCGGCGCCAGGCCCCCGTGGCGCGCGGCGCGCGCCAGGGGGCGGCCCAGCACGACGCCGACCCGGGACGTCCGCACGGAGCTCCGGAAGCTTCTGCGCGCGGGGAGCTTCGAGACCTCGACGGCGTTCTGGAACACGGCTGTTTCGGGCCTTCCCCGGGCCCGGAATCTCGCCGAGATCGGCGAGCGTGTCGGGGGAATTCCCCCCGAAGCGCTCGCCGTAGCATGTCACACTGACATGTTGGTCCAACGCCCCGCTGCTCCCAGATTTCCGAAACCCTGGCTTGTCCAACGTGGGGCCCCGAGAAGCCCAGACGCCTTCCCGAGAGCTGGCTTCGTCCTGATCGGTTGTTCGAGGGCCCTGTGGACAGGTGAGGGCTCCCAGGGGGCGAAAGCGGCGAACGAAAGTCAACCCTGCTGAGCTCAGCATGCTGGAGGCGTGCGGGCTCGTGCCGCTGTTTTGCCGCTCGAGCTCCTCGGCGCCGAGCTTCTGCCCTGCGGCACCACGCACCGGTGCAAGGCGCTCGTTTCTCCTGGAAGCCGCCGTGCTCAGTGACGACCCTTGGCTGGGCGTGCCCAGCGGCTGCCGCCCTGTGAAGAGAGGGCGTTCGCTCACACCCGCCAGCCTGGCCGCCCCTCCCTCCCCAGGCATGCAGCACCTCGCCGTGCGCAGCACCTCTCCTCCTCCCCCTCCCCCTCCTCCTCCTCCTCCTCCTCCTCCTCCTCCTCCTCCTCCTCCTCCTCCTCCTCCTCCTCCTCCTCCTCCTCCTCCTCCTCCTGGTGGAGAGGAGGAGGAGGCACCGTGGCACGCAGAAGCCTGCTCGGCAGGAGAGACGGGCCACGCGGAAAAAGGCGGTGGGGCTTCCCGTGATCTCACATGGCCAATGCAAAATCCACCAGCTGTCTGCATCCTGCACCTGGCTGGGAGGTTCCCTCCAGAGAGGTCCCGTTCCCACGCCTCGAGGAGCCCCCCGGGGACACCTCCGGGAATGTCTCCGCCCAGGGGCCCCCGGAGGCCTCAGGCCCCGCTGCTCCTAGAGGGCTGCGGGAGTCCCTAAGAGCAAGACCAGCTCTCTCTCTAGCTCTCACGCCCGAACCCCCGATGCCGTGATTGCTACAAGGGCCTCCTCGAAGCCTCGACCCCTTGCTAGGGGACAGATCTATGCCAGATATGTTGGATTCACCTGGGAGCTGGAAAACTACTGCTAGAGGCCAAACGTAGACAACACCACATGGATTTGTTCCAAGCGCTGGAGATCTGGGGTGCCCTCCATATCTCGACCCCTAGAACTCTACTTGGGTACCTGTTGACCAGACTCCCGAGGCCCCAAACGGGGCCCAGATTGGGATGGGGGGCTGACTATGTGGAGACTACAGAAGGCTTTCACACCGTGAGGAGACATTCTGCGTCGATCCACAAACTTGTAACATATAATATGTCGCAATTGTTGGCCCGTGGAGGCTGGATCCGGGCACCAGAACAGTCAAGGAAGAGTCCAGGTTGAAACGTAGAGCAAAGGACAGACTTCCAGCACTGTGTGTTTGAACAATATACACTGTCCTACGTTTCGAACTGTCGAGCTCGAGCTGCGTCGAATTCGATGCCTGAGCAACCTGTTTCAACATGTCAAGCATCCTGCTTCACCCTGTTGAGCTCGAACTAGCTCGAGCTGTGTTCAAGCTCAGAGACACAAGATCTCTGAGCTTGAACACTGTAGCTTGGTGTTTCAACATGTCTAGCCGTCGAGCTTGAGTGTAAGTTGCGCTTGGTGTGTCAACCTGTCGAGCTCAGAGATCCAGAAGAGTATATTCTCTGGGCTTGAACATTGTAGGTAGTCCTCGCCCCCCCCCACCCCCCCCACGCGTGCCAGGGCCTTCCAACGTCGAGATATGATTTCATGCCGGGTTGCCTGGGAGTCCCGACTTCTTCACAGGGGGCTGCTTCGTCAGCCCTGATATGTTTTTTGGATGTACTTGAGCCCGACCTCTCAAGACCGCGCGCTCGCAAGACACGCCTCCGATCTCTATGACCGCTAACCCCTTCGCATTCCCTGCGTGAGGCGCATCGATGCCCGTCGGTCGGAAGAAGTGGCTAAAAACATAAAATAGGAAAGCGTTGAAAGTGGATTGGGTCCCCGCCCCCTGCCCGACAGCAGAAAGGGGCTTCTGGACACTGGACACAAATAGGAACAATCCAACAAACCATGTCTACCAGATCTGTGCGCGGCGCAACCTGTGCACGTCGCATACGATGTTGTGCAACCGCTGCAGTTGCAACCTACTCTGTGGAATGCGGTATGAGCGCATGTGCAAATCATCCACGACGACGCGCGCTTCGCGTGCGCTTCATGTTTAGCATAGCCTGGAGAGGCGTCATATAATCGTGCGAGCATGGATGGAGCTCCACGGTGGTCACTGCCTGGGAGCCTCGCTTCGCATCCGCAGACAGAATCAGTGTGACCTCCCCTGGGCCGTCAGCGTGGTCCACGCTACGCGGAGTGGGAATTTGAGCATGAGATGAAGTGGTGGAGCACTAAAGAACGCAATAGTCGCATAAACAAAGATCGGTCGTAATATACACCAGTCGCAGCTAATACACATTGCGCACTATGAACTCAACACCCCCCTGCCAGAATCCCACCAGCCTTCTGGGCGCAAGTGGTTTAACAAAGTTTGTCATCTCTCTGACAAAATCCCTCCTTTTCCTGCTCGGGGGAGATGTTTATCACGTCGCGATTCCTTATGAATATTCACCCCATCCCCCACCCGGCCGGCGGCCAATCCGGAACCACGCCAACCCCATGCGGGCCACCATCACCCCACAACCCCTGTCAAAAAACAATGCGAAACGCACTCTGCATTCACATTTGGAGCACGCGCGGCCAACCCGATGCGCCCCCCCTTCACCATCCTTGTCAAAAAACAATACACAATACACTTTTGGGCAAAGTCTTGAATCATGTTCGTGAGGCCCGCGAGACTTTGCATTGGTTTTAACAAGGACGGCGGAAGTGTTTGCATTTTCCCCGCTGCGCGCAGGGCTACTATCCCTGACAACAGAAATTCACAATTCACCTCGCGGCTAAATCTGGATCATGCGCGGCCACCCCGCGATCACTGTCAAGTGGTTTTGACAGGGACGGCGGGGGTGGTGGCGCGTGGCCTGCTGTGCGAAGGCCCACCAGACACAATGGTGGGCAGTGGTTTTCGACAAGGATGATGAGGGCCGACATGTTTCCCGATGCGTGCTGTCACGTGCGCAGGCGCACCTAACGCACCCTGCACGTGCCCCGAACGTGGCGCACCTGGCGCGGCTAGAGTGTGCGGCATACCTGGCGCACTCGGAGCACGTCGCGCATCTGGCGCACCAGGCGTGCCTGGCAAGCTCGGGTCCCAGGGGTGCCTGGCGCGCGTGGCGCCCCTGGCACGCGTGGCGCACCTCGCCAAAACGTCGCGCACCTGGGGTCGGAGTTGGTTCCTAGAAGCTGCCCATCCAAAGGCGACCGCTGAACATGCTCAGGTTCGGGTGTTACTTATGTGGTTGGAGGGCGTGTGGGAGTGAGCTAGACCGCTTGCGGGCGGGCGGGCAGCTTGACCCCTCACCCTACCCCCTCCCCTGGGCCTGGGAGGGGGGGCGCTGGTATAGGTAGAGCGCCCAAAATGGCCCAAGATGGCTCCAGAATGGCTCCAAGAGGGCCTCAGAGAGCCCAAGATGGCCTCCAAGATGGCTCAAGATACCTCAAGTTGGTTCAAGATAGCCTCCGACACACATGCAAGAAGCCTCCAGACGGCCCCAAGACGGCTTCAAGTGCCCTCCGAGCCTCCGAGCCCTCCAAGGACACCCCCCAAGAGGCCACACTCCTTCAACTCAGTGCTCCATTCGTATGGTGCGACTCGCTCGCAAGGACAGCCAGCACCGTCGCACACATCACGAGGCACGGCATTAGCCCAGGAAGGAGCCTCGCAGTGATGCCCGATGCGAAGATGCGTCCAGCGCCTGTTGGGCGCGATGGGTCGTAAGAGCGTCGTGGCGCTTCCCTGGGCGATTCGCTCCACATCGCGGTAACGCCTTCCGCTGCTGTTGCCCTCGCAACTAGACCGGTGTGCTTCTGGGACGAATTACCCGTAGCAGAACTGGCATACGCACAAGCTGTTCAGGGACATGAGGGCGGTGCCACTGCGGAGGCGAAGGAAAGTGCGAAGGTGAGCCCACATCGCACTCTGCGCACATTCTGTGGATACCGAGATGAGAGCGCTCGCAGCTCCGCTACCAACTGGAATTGCGGGGGTAAAAAGCTGTAAAAGCGAAAGCATTTCGGCGATAAGACTCCCGGATAGCTCCTTGGAGAGCTGAGAAGTTTTCCGATTAGAAGCCGGCAGCGCAGGGTAGCCAAGGAATTCTTTCCAGCGCTGGTCAAGCAGCGTCGGAGCGAGTTGCTTGAAATCGCAGCTTGACCCGAAGGCGTTTTCATACGTGTTCCCGATGAACGTCGGTCGGAAGAAGTGGTCAAACACATCAAGTCGGAAAGCGTTGGAATTGGATTGGGTCCCCACCTCCTGCCCTCGGACACAAATAGGAGCAATTCAACAAAGCATGTCTACCAGACCTGTGCGCGGTGCAAGATGTGCATGTCGCATACGATGTTGCGCAACCACTTTGCAATGTACTCTGTGGAATGCGGTATGAGCGCATGTGCAAATCATCCACGACGACGCGCGCTTCGCGTGCGCTTATAGCCTGGAAGGCGTCATATCATCGTGCGAACATGGATGGAACTCCACAGCGGTCACTGCCTGGGAGCCTCGCTTCGCATCCGCAAACAGAATCAGTGTGACCTCCCCTGGACCGTCAGCGTGGTCCACGCTACGCGGAGTGGGAATTTGAGCATGAGATGAAGTGGTGGAGCATAAGGAAACGCAATAATCGCATAAACACGGATCAGCCGTAATATACACCAGTCGCAACTAATACACATTGCGCACCATGAACTCAACACACCCTTGCCAGAATCCCACCAGCCTTCTGGGCGTACGTGGTTTAACAAAATTTGCAATCTCTCTGACAAAACCCCTCCTTTTCCTGCTCGGGGGAAATGTTTATCACGACTCCCTATAAATATACACCCCATCCCCCACCTGGCCGGCGGCCAATCCGGAACCACGCCAACCCCATGCGGGCCACCATCACCCCACAACCCCTGTCAAAAAACAATGCAAAACGCACTTTGCCTCCACAGTTGGAGCACGCGCGGCCAACCCGATGCGCCCCCCCTCCCCCCTCACCATCCCTGCCAAGAAACAATGCACAATACACTGTGGGGCAAAGTCTTGAGTAATGTTCGTGAAGCCCGCGAAACTTTGCATTGTTTTCCACAAGGACGGCGGAAGTGTTAGCATTTTCCCTGCTGCGCGCAGGGCTACTATCTCTGACAGCAAAAAGGACATTACAAAATGCACCTCGCGGATAAATCTGGATCATGCGCGGCCACCCTGCGATCAGGGTCAAATGGTTTTTTAACAACGACGGCGGGGGTGGTGGCGCGTGGCCTGCTGTGCGCAGGCCCACCAGACACACTGATGGGCAGTGGTTTTCGACAAGGATGATGAGGGCCGACGTGTTTCCCGATGTGTGCTGTCACGTGCGCAGGCGCACCTAACGCACCCTGCACGTGCCAGAACGTGGCACACCTGGCGCGGATAGAGTGTGTGGCACACCTGGCGCACTCGGGGCACGTGGCGCATCTGGCGCACCAGGCGTGCCTGGCAAGCTGGGGCCCCAAGGGTGCCTGGCGCGCGTGGCGCCCCTGGCACGCGTGGCGCACCTCGCCCAAACGTCGCGCACCTGGGGTCGGCTTTGTCTCCTAGAAGCTGCCCATCCAAAGACGACCGCTGAACATGTTCAGGCTCGGGAGTTACTTATGTGGCGGGGGGGGGTGCGGGAATGAGCTAGACCGCTTGCGGGCGGGTGGGTAGCTTGATCACTGTTCCCTATTAGTATACACCCCCTCCCCCAGGCGACTGGGAGCCAACCAGGGGCAATGCGCCCCCCCCCCCACTATCCCTTGTAAAAAATAATACAAAACACACTCTGCCTCCAAATTCGGAGCAGGCGCAGCGAGCCCGATGCGGCCTCCCCCCACCATCCAAGTCAAAAAACAATACAGAGTACTTGGCGGCGGCGGCGGCGGCAGCGGCTGCGGCGGCGGCGATTCGGCAGCGAGGGCGACGGCGGCGGCGGCGGCGGCGGCGGGCGCGGCGGCGGCGGCGGCGGACGGCGGTGGCGGGCGGCGCGGCGGCGGCGGCGGCGGCGGACAGCAGCGGCGGCGGCGGCGGCGCGGCGGCGGCGGCGGAGGGCGGCGGCGGCGGGCGGCGGCGGCGGAGGCGGCGGATTCGCCCCCACAACTGCCCATCCAAAGACGACTGCTGCATATGCTGCGGCTCGGGCCAGGCTCGGGTGCTACGTATGTGTCCGGAGGGCGGGTGGGAGTGAGCGCGACGGCTTGCGGGCGGGGAGGGAATCTTGGCCCCCCCTCATACCCCCCCCCCCCCCCTGGGCCTGGGAGAGGGGGCGCTGGTATAGGTAGAGCGCCCAAGATGGCCCAATATGGCTCCAAGATGGCTCCAAGAGGGCCTCAGAGAGCCCGAGATGGCCTCCAAGATGGCTCAAGATACCTGGAGTTGGTTCAAGATAGCCTCCGACACACATGCAAGAAGCCTCCAGACAGCCCCAAGACGGCTTCAAATGCCCGCCGAGCCCTCCAAGGACCCCCCCTCCAAGAGGCCACACTCCTTCAACTCAGTGCTCCATGGTGCGCCTTGCTCGCAAGGACAGGCAGCACCGTCGCACACATCACGAGGCGCGGCATTAGCCCAGCAAGGAGCCTCACAATGATGTCAAACGCGAAGATGCGGCCAGCACCTGTGGGGCGCGATGGGTCGTAAGAGCGTCGTGGCGCTCCCCTGTGCGATTCGCTCCACATCGCGGTAACGCCTTCCGCGGCTGTTGCCCTCGCAACTAGACCTGTGTGCTTCTGGGACGAATAACTCGTAGGTTTGCAGTCCAGCCATACGTACAAGCTGTTCAAGGACATAAGGGCGGTGCCACTGCGGAGGCGAAGGGAAGTGCGAAGGTGTGTCCAAATCTCACTCTGCGCACGTTCTGTGGATACCGAGATGGGAGCGCTCCCAGCTCCGCTACCAACTGGAATTGCGGGGGGTGGAAGCTGTAAGAGTGAAAGTATTTCGGCGATAAGACTCCCAGATAGCTCCTTGGAGAGGTGCGAAGCTTTTCGATTACCGGCAGCGCAGGGTAGCCAAGGAACTCTTTCCGGCGCTGGTCAAGCGTCGCAGCCGAGTTGCTTGAAATCGCAGCTTGTCCCGAAAGCGTTTTCCTACTCGTTCACAATGCGTCTCCGGGAAAGCTTTCAGCAGCTCCTTCGAAAGGCTTCCGAGCCTCCTGCGAAGCCTCTTTCACAAGTTTGCAAGCTCCCAGACATACCTCGTGAAGTCGGGCGCAAGGCGGAGCTAGTTGGCCGGCCCAGCCAGAAGAGACAATGTGTTCAGTTTGGGCCGGTTTTCTGACCGTTGCGAGATACCTGACAACTCATGTGAATCATTACTAGTACGAGGCACTCTTCTATGTAAGCGTCATCTCTGGAGCTGCTGGACGTTTACCGAAACACTAAGTGGAACCGAAGCAGCGCCGACACCGAACAAAACATGTGTCAGATCATCTTGTTCCGATTCTCGGCTGACCTCCAGGGCAGAGTGAGATCCCCGGCAACAGGCAGGTTGCCGGTCTACCGTCGGCGTCCAGTCTTGTCCGGCGCCCACGCAGGCGTATTTCTCGCAGGCGTGTCGCGCGCTCCGAAAATGCCCGGCTGTCCGGGCTTTGGGCCCCATGCGTGCAAATCGCAGGGGTTCCTTTACTCTCCGTATACAGTACGCGCCAGCGCTGGAGCCAGAAGGCGGCAGAGCATCCTACTTAACTGAGGAGGAAGAGGAAGGTGAGTCGAGGAGGAGGAGGAAGAGGAGGACGGGAGGATGAGGAGGAGGGGGATGAGGAGGTGTAGGAGGAGGCGGAGGAGGAAAAGGAGGAAGAGGCAGGAGGAGGAGGCAGGAGGCGGAGGAGGAGGACGAGGAGGAGGAGGAGGACCAGTGTAAACCTAAGCGCCATCAGCGATGTTGGAATAAACCCTCCCTCCAAGCTCCCTCATAGGCCCCTACAGCCGTTCATTTCCATTGAGGGGGCTGCCTCGTTGGAAGACAACCGTTTGAAGACCCTGAAGCATGCCAAAGGATTGTTCTCGGAATTCGGTTGCCTCGCATCAACCTGACTGTTGCGTGTTGGCGATCTGGAATCGTGCGAGAACGCCATTCCTGAGATTTCAGCACAGCGAATGAGAGTAACTGTTGCGCCCGCGTAGCCCTGAATCCTTTCAAAATACAAAACTCTGGTACGTTGACGATGGGAACCCGTGAAACTCTTGCAAATCTTGTAAGCGAATGCGCGCGGCGCTCACGCGAGAGCCACATGTTGAAAACGACCCGCCCTCAATCCATGAAGCTCTTGCAATTTGTTTAACGAATGCGCGCCGCGCTTAGGCGAGAGCCACATGTTGAAAACGATCCGCCCTCAATGCGTGAAACTCTTGCCATTCATTTCGGCGAATGTGCGCCGCGCTATGGCGAAAGCCATATTTTGAAAACAGCCCGCCCTCAATATGTGAAGCTCGTGCAAACTTTTAAAACGAATGTGCGCCGCGCTAAAGCGCGAACCTCATATTGAAAACGGCCCGCCCTCGATCCGTGAAGCTCTTGGAACTGTTTCAACGAGTGTGCGCCGCGCTAAGGCGAGAGCTACATGTTGAAAACCACCCGCCCTCCATGTGTGAAACCGTTGCCAATTTTTGAGCTTCAGAATCATGAGCGGTGAGGAGATATCAGGCGAAACGCCCGGCCCGCCCTAAAACCTGGTCTCGGGGTGCGACAGGGAGTAATCATTTATAAAGACAGAGAAGGAGGAAGAGGACAGGGATGGGGGAGGGGGAGGGGGAATAGGACGGGGAAGGAGGGGGAGGACAGGAATTGGTCGGCGTTGGAGGCAGCGAAGATCCCTCCCACCCGCGCCGCGGCACGACGCTGGCCCATGCTCCTCGCGATCGCCCAGGAGGGGCAGCCTTCGGTGCGCGCTCGCCCGGAGGAGGCGGGGGAGGCGGCACGGGGGAGTCGGGGGAGGTACCTCCTCCTCCTCCTCCTCCTCCTCCTTGTCCTCCTCCTCCTCCTCCTCCTGCTCCTCCTCCTCCTCCCCGTCCTCATCCTCCTCCTCCACCTCCTCCTCCTCCTAATCCTCCTCCCCATCATCCGCCTCCTCCTCCGCCCCCGCCTCTTCCTCCTCCTCCTCCTCCCAACCCTCCGTTTCTTCCCCTCCTCCTCCTCCTCCTGTTCTTCCTTCTTCCCCTCCTCCTTCTTCTCTGTCTCCTCATTATCCTTTTCCTCCTCCTCCTCCTCCTCCTCCTCCTCCTCCTCCTCCCTCTCCTCCCTCTTGTCCCTCTCCTCCCCCGACTCCCTTCTGCCTCCTCCCTCATCCCCTCCTGCTTCTTGCCTCTTCACTTCCAACCCCTTCCCCTTCCCCTCCCCATCCTCCTCTCCTCCTCATCTTCCTCCTCCTCCTCCTCCTTCTCCTTCGCCTCCTCCTCCTCCTCCTCCTCCTCCTCCTCCTCATCATCATCATCATCATCATCATCATCATCATCATCATCGTCCTCCTCCGCGTCCTCCTCCCCCTCATTCCTCTTCCTCCTCCTCCTCCTCCTCCTCCTCCTGCTACTCCTCCTCCTTCTCCTCATCCTCCTCCCTCCAAATTCTAGTCCTCTGGGGTGTACCTCGTCGACACGGCTGGCCTCGAAGTCCTCGTCGGAAAATGCTCGAGGAGAGGTCTTGGCGACTATCTTGAGGGGGACGGAATGGTGAGGGAAGGGGCCCTGACGACTCATTGGAGCCAGGTTCTGAAGGCGATGGCCCGGATTCGGTGAGCACGAAAGCTAGAATCTGACGACTTCGGGTCCAAGTGAAAGCCTGGGAGAGGGGACCGTAGATGGACAAATAAGTGGAACCCTTGACACGGCGCCCCCCCCTTCCCCCCAATTTCAAGGTTGGCCCCAAGCATTCGGCAGCACAGGCATGAGAGGACAAAAACAGTGGAACCCCCAGGGCCCCCGGGAGGCCGAGGCCAACGTTGCAATTCGTGGGCGGGGGAGGGAGCGAACGCGGGGTCGAAGACGAAGGGGTTCCACTGTTTTGTTCTCTCACCGGAGAAGGGAAAGGGAGGGAGGATGGATGTTCGGCGAGCCGAGGAGGGGGAGGGGACAGCAGCTGGCCGAGTTGGGCAAGTGTCGCAGGGTTTACGACGGTAGACTTGCGATGGATGGAGGAGTTCGAACCTTTCAGTGCACAAATCGCAGCGATCGGAAATCAGGCACAACAATGTTGAAAACCGACTCCTCCTGCTCCTCCTCCTCCTCCTCCTTCTCTCCGCCTCCTCCTCCTCCTCCTTCTCCTCCTCCTCCCCCTACTGGTCGTCGTCGATGTCTTTCAGGGTCGGCGGCACCAGCCTTCAGGCCTTCACAATCAGATACAACAATGTTCGAAACCGAGTGTGGATCGTGCTCGGGAACGGACAGTGCCATGAATCTAAGGACTAACTACCCGAGAGGCGAAACTTGCAACTTGGAAGACGACGAGTAGGTCGAAGCTCACGGGTAAGCTGCATAAGCAAGCTCGCCGCTAGCAGGTATCACAGAGTGGACGGCAGAGATCACATGATACAATACATGCTATGTGAACCAGGAGCAATGACAAAACGTATACGGTATAGATCACAGAGCGAGTGGTCGTTACACAGTAGCGACAGCAAAATAGAACGCAAAGGTAGAGAGTGAAGGTGGAGGGTAAAACACAGGTCGGGCAGCAATGCGTATCAGGTAGATCTGATACAGAAGTGGATAGAGAGCAGGCAGCGGAAAGTACGGGCAGAGAGTGAAGATTCAGGTGCATAGTCGATCGTCAAATTCAGCGAGTAGAGACTACAGGGAAGAAAGTACAGCTTAGAGCGCAGAGAACAGGCAAGTCTGGGGTTAGAGGCTGTGAACCAAAATGAAAAGGGCACCTGTGCTGAGCTGAGGGTGCAGGTTGAGATAGTCGCGTGTGCCGAAGGCTGGATCGGCATGCACATCGGAGCGTGTCGACTAAAGAAGCGGATCAAGGATGTGAAGGGTAGAAACTTGTAGAGAGAAAGATGAAGGGTAAAGAGCCTATACTAAAGGATTGACGGTAGACCGCACATGGTAGAGACCATATGTATGATAAGAAAGAGAGAGAGAGAGAAGGAGACAATGGCTGACATCAAAGACGACCTAACCAATACAACGTATACCACATACAGGTGTGTAGAAGGTACACCGTGGAAACACACTTAGTGAAATACTCGTACTTGCTGTATGTTACCCAAGGAGGAGGCAATGCGTAACACAACTGGCAACGAAGGTGACGAATGTGAGGGGAGGAACTGGAAACCGAGAAGATGCATCGGCATACTGCCTCGATGATCCTCCTCCTGGCACAAACACACACAAACACACACGCACACACGCACACACATACGCACACGCACAGCTATCCTCAGACCTCCAACGTCGTGTCCTTCCGCGACGTCGACCGCTTCAGCTCTCTGCTCCATCCCCGTCGCCAAGTCTCAGTCGCCAGCCATGTCTCGATTGGTCCATGGCCTGGGAATGGCCTCTCGAGGCCATCACCGAGAACAAGACGCCCGCCGTGGTTTTTGTTCGGGGCACTGCAGGTCTGTGTCAACGGCCTCGGAGTCGATCCCCGTGCCTCTCCCAGGGTGCGCTCTGGCAATGTTTTGCAGAAGAATCCGACGGTGGCGAAAGGGGGGCAGCAGGAGACCCAATCAGTTCCGCAACGTGGAGCAGCCTCCAGGTAGGAACGTCCCCCGTATCGTGATGCTTGTCGCCTCAACTGGAGATCTGGGCTCAAGGGAGAGGAGAAGGAGGGGGAGGAGGAGGAGGAGGTGGGGGAGGAGGAGGAGGAGGATGAGGAGGAGGAGGAGGAGAAGGAGGAGGAGAAGGAGGAGGGCCGACGCCCAGGCCTGCCCCAAAGCGCTTCTGACAAGGCCCTCCGAAAGAGAACACAGCCGTGGCCACAGGGGCCCATTCCTCCGACGATCTCTGAAGCCCATCCCTCCGACGCTCTCCGAAGCCCATCCCTGGCCAGGTCGGGGGCACGAGGGGGGTGGCGCAATGGCGGGGGAGGCCTTCTCGAGAAGGCGGGGGGGGGGGGGCAGGCGGGCGGCGAGGCTGGCTCGGAAGCTTCGGAGAAGACCTCTGGCACGGAGATCCGCCGCTGCCGGCGCCCCGACCGTCTCCCCAGGCTGGCGGCGCGCACCGGGGAGCGGGGCCAGGGGGGAAGGCCTCTTAGCAGGAGGCTGCTTCTTGGAGGGTGCCGGCCTCGCATCTATGGAGAAGGCCCGCGCCGTCTAAGAAGCAGGTGGTGCCTCCAAGAAGCCTTCCCCCTCCCCCTGCCCCCCTCTGCACGTGGCCGACCAGAGCCGGGTGAGGGCCCCCACTCGAAAACTGAGAAGAACTCCCAGCTTTATGTTGGCCGCGAAACCGGGGAGGGAAGTGCGAAGCGGCGGGCCTTCCCAGAAGGCTTGGAAGTCCTCCGGCCTTCTGACAAGTTTTCGAAGCCTTCCCCGAAGACACGAACAACTTCTCAGAAGGCGCGAGGGGTTCTGTTTCGTACCCTGGCAAGGCAAACGCCTTGACGCATCAAAGCTGATGTTTGCCTCCGCCTCGGCGGCGGGAAGTCGCTTTCGGGTAACATGGCAAAAGAAAAGGCGCTCCGAGGCAAAAAAGCAGTCCCAGGAGAAACGACCGGAACCTGGAACGCAAACCATCAGCACAAATGAATGGCTGGGACGTCGTGTTTTCTTAACCACCTGGGCCCCGGGGGCACCGACTCCTGGCACCAGCTTTCCACCCTCGAGTCTTCTGGCAATCTCGAGGCCCTGTGGGCCACCCTGGGGCCGAGATCAAGAGAAGGCCGCCCGTCGTGGTTTCCCACGGCGCGAGGAGTCCTGAGATCGGGGGTCGGAAATTTGCCCCGGGTCCCGTCCTGCGGCGCGCTGTGGCCAAAACATCGAGGCGGATCCAACCGTGGCAACGACAAGCAGCCTGGAGCCCCCCCCCCAAAAACGGCAGCAAGCTGACAGACATCCGGTGCACCTCGGGGGCGGTGGCCAGGATAAGAGACAGGCCATCACATCATGGCCCGAGGCACGTAACGCGGACGAGGGGGTGCTATAGGGGACGTCGTGGAAGAAGACGACGACGATGCGCCTCGGCCCCATCGATCGACACCAAGGGGGTCGTCAGGGCAGAAACGGGTGGGGGGAGGGGGGCGGGGGGCATAATTAGCAAAGGGATGGTAAAGAATCAGCAGGCGCTGCTCAGCCACGAGCAAACTGCAACATCGCTTGGGGGAACTCGACCAGAGCCCTGGACCACGCCTTACTGCAGCATGCTTCGCGCCAGATCGATCCCCGAGGGTCCCGGGGCGCGAAACGAGGCACATTCCCCCCCTTATGATTGGAGGCCTGGAAATTGGCACCAACACCAACACAGGTGGGGTTGCCTCCACACGGGGATGATGATCCTAGATTTCGGTGTGGGTGGTCATAGTTCGGCCACCTTGGAAGTCAGAATATTACCACCATCACCGAGACCGGGGTCTTCTTCCCTCGGTGGAGGCACGCCGCCGATATTGGTGTTGGTGTCAACCTCGAGGCCTGCGATGGGAGAGAACTGCGGCGCCCGGACCGCTGGGCTCGTCCGACCCGCCGCGAGGGGCCCGCGCCTCGGGAGGAGCGCCATCGCGTGCGCGCCGCGCGCGCGCACAAGCGCCGCGCGGAGCGCCCCGGGGCCGGTCGGCCGGGGAGCGCGCGGGGGGGGGGGGGGGGCAGCGGCGAGAGCTGCGGCCAGCGCGCGCTCCCCCCACAGACCCCCCCCCCCCTCTTCGAGCCAGGAGGTGGCGGTGCAGCGTGTGTTCCGGTCGGGCCGCGGAGGCGGGGGAGAGCAGAGCCCGGTGAACCCGTGCAGGGCGCCCTCCACCCGCGCAGCTGCTAGGAGCGCTTCAGGTAAACAAAGGATTGCAAAAAAAAACCTTGATTGCAAAAAAAAACCTTGATTACAAAGGATTGCAAAAAAAAACCCTTGATTACAGAGGATTGCAAAAAAAAAAACCCTTGATTGGTAACAAAGGTTTTTTTTGCAACCCTTTTTGCAACCCTTCGAGCAACGCCAAAACGATAACCTAATTTTGAAAAGGAACTGCCCTCCATCCGTGCAGCTGCTGGAAGTTGTGAAAACGAACAAATATGCGTGCTGCGCAAAGGCGAAGGCCACCTCTTGAACACGTCCCGCTCTTATATTGGAAGCTTCTGCAGCGAAGGTTGAGAACGCGGAGGAGACCACCTTACTTTGAAAACGACCCCTCCCCCTCCGAAAGTGTAACTACTCGACGTTTTCAGAACGAATATGCGCGGCGCTACGGCGATAACCATATTCTAAAGACGACCCCCTCCATCCGCAAAGCTGCTGAAGTATTTGGAGACAAATGTGCGCACTGCGAACTCGAACATCACATCCTGAAAACGCCCCCCCTCCATCCGTGCAATTGAATGTTGGAACGTTCAAGCTTCGGGGTCGCATGCGGGAAGGAGGTCTCAGTCGAAACGCCCGGCCCGTCCAGCCGACATGTCTGGTGGCCAGACGAGGAGGAATGAGTTACAGGGAAAAGGGGTGGATGAGAAGGCGGAGGATGAGGAGCAGGGAAGAGGAGCAGGATGCATGAGAAGAAGGATGAGGAGGAGGAGGAGGAGGAGGAGGAGGAGGAGGAGGGGAGAAAGGGGAGGGGAGGACGAGGGATAAGGATGAGCAGGAGAGAGTGGAGTGGAGTGGAGTGGACACCGCTGTGCAGTAAGTTTGGGTATTAGGAAGGCCGGGGCTGACGAGCACTCGATCGCCGAGTCGATTGCAGGGCTCAGGACTTTGGGGTTTAACCCCCGTGCAATCCTATCAAGGTACTCGCGACCTGTGGCGGACTTCCTACACTTGCAAGGACCTCCGAGGGAACGCAAAGCCTTGCCCGCGATGGCCCCACACTCGGAACCAAACGAAGCCTGAAGGGTCATGTGAACATTCAGGGTGAACGTGGTGTGGGCCCACCCCCCGCGACATGGATTCGCGTCCCTTTCGTCGGCCAAGAGACCACCCCATCTACGTGATATACTCTTGGACACTCTGACTCCACGAATCCTTTTAACAGTGGCGAGGGGGGCAGAGCCAGGGCACTTGTCGCAACGCCGACCGCACTCAGCCAGGCAATGCCTGGACAGAGAGAGCAGAGACAGCAGCCGCAGCGGGAGGGGCGGGAGGAGAAGGAAGGGCCTCACAGAAGCCACGGGAGCCTCGAGGCGCATCCTTCTCCTCACGCCCGGCCCCTGGGCTGGCCTTGTTGCGGTCCAACGTGGCTCGCAGGAACCTCAACCAAAAAGGATGACCGCTTTCCTCTCGACCGGGAGTGCTTGATGGCGGATGGTGGAGGCCAGCTTTGCTTTTCAACCGCAGCTATACCAGCCAGCTCATGCGCTGGGAGGTTGCCAATCACCAGAAGTCGATTGGCTTTCTTCTCAACGGTACAGTGGAGGCCCGACCACAAGAAACCTTCCGCAAGAAACCCAACCCTGAGACACCAGGACGTCCAGTTGCTTTTTGGTGTGGGACCGTTTCCATAGCAAAACTATCGAAACCCAAGAAATCCAGGGCACCCTGGAGGCAACAAGCGTGTTTCTTGGCATGGGCCTCCACTGTATCGTGAGCGGAGGGAGGAGGATGGGGACAGAGCCGGCACTGCTGGAGCTGTATCGCTGTTTCGTAGCCCCCGCTGGATCTTTAGCAGGGGCGATGCCAGAAGGCTCGGGGACGGTAGTATCCCAAATCTAGCCCCAGATGGCCTACAATGCGGCCCAAGAGGCTTGCAAGGGGGGCCCAATAAGGCCCCCCAACACAACATCCAGACGCAAGTTTCATACTAGTAGCTGATGCTTCTTATAAGTTAACCGACGCTTCTGGATTCGATGTCTATTGCTCCCGGAAAGACCCAACGCCAAAGTCTGTCCCAGAGCGCCCTCATACGGCCTCAATGCGGCCCAGCAGAGCTCCAAGACAACCCCAGAGGCATCCAAGACGGCTCCACATGCCCCCAAGAACGTCCTAAGATGGGGCCGAGATAAACCGGTCCACGAGGCCCCAGAGACCCTCCGAGGCCTCCAAGACGCACTAGCAAGCCTCGCAACAGTCCTCCAACCAAGAAACCTCCCAAAAGCCTCGTCGTCGTCGTCGCCCTCTTCCTCCTCCTTGTTCCTCCTTCTTCCCCTTCCCCCCTTCTTCCCCCTCATCCTCGTCTCCCCACGTTCCAACATGCACGTGGCACCCCGCGGCCTGACTGGGCCAACCGTTCTCCATACTCGCCATGAATATCGTACCCCTCCTCTCCGTCTTGACTTCATGTTCCTGTCCTCCAGGCAGTGTCGAGTCCACCCGTCCAGCGGAGAGGCCGATACCCTATTTGTTTTTGCTTGCACCCACGATGCCGCAGCCCGTACACACCAGGGGATGGCAAGGCCACTGGAGGCCCTGCACTGCACAGATCCCACGCCAGAGGAGAACGTGGACAGAAAACGAGGCGAACATCACAGACCGTGCCACGCAAATCGAACCACAAGTGACGAAACGTGCTCAAACCCACCGTGACCCCTACCCTCCTGGGGTGAGGCCGGTGTCCGACAGCAGGGCCTAGGACAGAAGAACGTCCTCCGAGAACGCGAGACCCTCCGCCGGCCAAGACACACAGGCTATCCGTGGGCACCCTCCCCCAGGGATGCACCAGAGCGTCCATCGAGCACGAAGACCATGAGGGTACCCCTCCCCGAGCCGACCTCGCTCTTGCCCCTCGGGCCGACCGTGCTGCGAAGCAGCCCGCCCCTGGGGTTCGGTCGGGCATGTCCCCCTGCAGACGGATTCTGGACCCAACATAAGCAGCAGTCAAACCACATCCAAGCATGGTCAAACCACAGTCGAACCATCGTCCCCAGACTTCTTTTGCTTGACAGTCTTTGATTTTCTTCCTCCTGTCACGAGGGGGACGTGCCCGACGTCACCCTGGGGTGAAGAGGCCCGCCCCCCCTGGGGGCCCGGGCCCGGGAGGCCCCGCGAACCCCGCGAACCCCGCGAGGAGGCCCCGGAGGCGCCAGGGAGTGCGACGGTCGCGAGGGGGCGGCGGGCCCCCGTGGAGAGCCGCAGTGCCGCAGGGAGGCCGTCCAGAAGAGAGAGGGGGCGGGGGAGGAGAGGGCGAGGGGCAGGGAGCGCGAGAGAGGGGGAGAGACAGAGAGGGAGGGAGGGGCGCTGAGAGAGAGAGAGAGAGATCTAGATGTGTGTATGATGTGCACGCGCACCGAGACGGGATGGGAGGTGTGTGTAAGAGAAAGAGAGAGAGAGAGAGAGAGAGAAACAAAAAATAAAGAAAGAAAGAGAAAGAGAGAGAGAGAGAGAGAGAAAAAAGAGAGAGAGAGAGAGAGAGAGTGAAAACAAAAAAAGAGAAGGAGAGAGAGAGAGAGAAAGAGAGAAAGAGAGGGAGAGAGAACACAAAAAAGGAGAAGGAGAGAGAGAGAGAGAGAAAGAGACAGCACATCAAAACACCAACAAAACTAGAGAGACGGCGACGGCGACGGCAACCTTGACGCAGACTGCGACGGTGGCCACGGCGAGAGAGGGAGAGCGGGAGCGAGAGGCCGACCGGGCGGGCTCCCGGGAGAGGCCTTCCAGAGGGGTGCTCCCAGAGACTCTGCCGCCCGAGGCCGACGTTGCGCCGAATGGGGGGGGGCGCTCTCGGGACAGGGTCCTGGATCAGCGGCGGGCCGGAGAGGGCAGGCCCTCTCAGAAGGCGGCGAGGCTTCCGAAACGATCGCCCTCGCGCCTCGGGAGAAGTTTCCCAGGCCCTCTCCGGAGGCGGAGGCGGCTTCTCAGAAGGCCGGAGGGCTCCTGAGAAACGCCGCTGCCTGCTGAGAAGGCCTGCCCCCTCTCGCTTCCCACCTGGGTTCGCCGCCGACTGGAGTGAGGGTTCCCCTTCGGCAACATTGACAGGGGACATGGCGACCCCTAACCCAAGCTTCGTGGACTTTCGAATGGACCAAACACTTGGGGCCCAATCCTGGGATATACGATGGGGGGCGACCATCCTCGATAGGGGTGCGCCCGAAAAGCCCCCTTGCGGTGTATCCCAGGGTTTCGGTCCTTTCTGAGCGGCTTCATTTTCCGTCGAAGAGCCAGGGGCTGGGGGAGAAACATCGCCTGCGACTAACGCCGCCTCGCTGAAGAGCAGGCGCTCTCTTGGGGTGCGCTCCGACACGAGCTTCGAGGCGAATCCAGCCATGGCGACGAGGGCCTCCCAGGAGGGCCCGACAGGGGAAGAGAACGAGGGAAGGGTAGCCGTATCGGCACCCTTCCTCTCATTCGACAGATGGTGAGGAAAAGACTGGCCATCGCTCGGACGTCCATTCCCTGTGTTATTGTTCAGTTTCGTGCGTGGCTTTTTCGCCAAATCATCAAGGATGCTCCTCGATTGTCCTCGCCGAAGAAAAAATGCACACGTCCGAGCGATGCCAAGAAGGGGATCTGTACGTTTTTGTCGTCGTCTCGGCTCCCTGTGGCCCTTCACGAGCCCCGATGGGGGAGATGGGGCAGTCGAGAAACCATGCAGGATGAGGATACAGTCAAAAACCCTAATAAGGACGCGCGGTAAGGACGCAAGACCCTTGGAAGCCGAAGTTGGGATTTTTGGGGCGCAAGAGCAAGGAAGAGCAAGGACGCAAGGGTACCCTGAGCAAAGTCGCGCGTCCTTATTCGGGTTTTTGACTGTAAGGGGCAGCCCTGGGGATCAAGCCCAGGGGTCTAGGCCCGTTTCCCTCAGAACCTGCTCCCTTCAGGGAGAGCATCCCTGCCAGGGGCAGGCAGAAGGGAGGAAGGGAGGAGAAAACGGAGACCATGACCGAGCAAGAACGTGGACACGCTGTGCTGAGCTTGGTTAGCGTCTGTCTTGGTCAGCGTCTATCCGTGGATCATACTCGCGAGTGGGCGACGGCTGGCATGTACCCTGACCAAGATCGACGTCGACAAAATCTCGCGATCTCTTGGCCGTGGTCATCGTTTTTCTTCCATCGACTGCCGCTCTTTACAGAACAGCCGCTCCAGTCAGGGACGCGCTGACCCAGGTCATCGCCAACTCAATCAGTGCCAAGCCAGGTTAGGGCGATGAAATCTATACAAAAACAGTCGGACCTAAGCCATAAGAATGTCCTCCAAGGACATGAGACCCTCCGCCGGCCAAAACATACAGAACATACAGGGGTCCCGTCCCCAGGCTGCACGAGAACATACAACCAGCACGAAGATCACCACGGTACCCTCCCCGAACCGACCTCGATCCTAAACCTCGGCCCGACTGTATGCGTATTCGCTGCTCCCTGGCCAGGCCCATCCCGAACCCAGCATTATGTCGGGCGTGTCCCCCTACAGGAAGATTTTCGACGAAAAATGAAAAATACCACAAAAATACCCCATAAAGGCAAACAAAATCCTAAACAAATAGTCCCCCAACGATTTTTGGACTATGTTTTGATAATTTTTGGGGTATTTCCATACCTAGGCTCGAAGGGTTCTTACTCTCTTAGCTTAGAGGGGCCGGGCAGTGTAAAGCGCCGGTCCCCTGGGAGCTTGAGCTTTAGCTTTAGCTTTAGCTTAGCTTTAGCTTAGCTTTAGCTTAGCGTTTCGCTTAGCTTTTCGCTTAGCGTTTAGCTTAGCTTTAGCTTAGCTGTAGCTTAGCTGTAGCTTAGCTTTAGCTTAGCTTTAGCTTAGCTGTAGCTTAGCTGTAGCTTAGCTTTAGCTTAGCTGTAGCTTAGCTTTAGCGTAGCTGTTGCTCAGCTTTAGCTTAGCTGTAGCTTAGCTTTAGTTTAGCTGTGGCTTAGCTTTAGCTTAGCTTTAGCTTAGCTTTAGCTTAGCGCTACTGTTATTACTAATGCTGCTTTCCCAGGGGATCCAACTCCCAGGTAGGGTCGCACTGGGATAATTCTTATTTTTCGTCGAAGATCCCCCTGTAGGGGGACAGGCCCGACTTCAACCCAGCAGCACCCCGCGACATCTCTCGGCCACGGTCGGCGTGCCTCTTGCCTCCGAGGGAGGGCGGGCGAGAGCGGCCCCCGCCAGGCGGAGGCTCGATGGGGCTCAGGATACCACACGGCGCGCAGGCCTTACACCTGGGGTGGGCAAGCATCCCCAGAGAAGGAGGAGGGTGAATAGGAGGAGGAGGAGGAGGAGGAGGAGGAGGAGGAGGAGGAGGAGGAGGACGAGGAGGAGGACGAGGAGGAGGAGGAGTTCTTTGCGCACCGGGAGTGGGCAGGCATCCCCAGAGGAGGGAGGAGGAGGAGGAGGAGGAGGAGGAGGAGGAAGAGCCTTCTGAGGCCCACCCTGCACTGCCCATCCTTGCATAGGCCCCGTCGTGGACAGGCTTGGAGTCCGATCCGATCCGATCCGAGGAGGAACCGCAAGGAATAGAATGTGGGAGAGGGAGGGATGATGATCACTGCGTTCGAATGTCTCAGGGCCTTTCTGGGCCTGCAGGGGGATTCGTATGGAACCATGGCTGTATGCGCCCCGGACCTCCTGTCCAACGGCACCCCGGGAGAGGTGCTGGGGTCGTTTTCGACCCCCGATCCCAAACGTCCAAACACTGCACAACTAATAAATGGCTACAGCCATTCTGTCTCGCGATTTCGGCGCATCTGGAGGGCGGCTTCGAGAAAACACAACACACGACGAAGCACTAGTGATGGGGATGGTCTCCGAGGATCCAGTGGTCCACGCTGCGAAACGAAAGCACGACGTCGGAGGTCCGGGGGACAACGAGAAAGTAGAAGACGGGGGAGGGCGACAAGGTGGACAGGGCGGCTAACACGACGTCCTTCTGCAGCTGCTGCTGCTTCTGCATCATCTCCTCCTGCGACTTCTTCTGCTGGTACTCCATGGTGAGCTGCATCGCCTGCTGCTCCAGCGCCACCTTCTGCTGTGATGACGCCTGCCCGGAAGCAGAACTGTCTTCACCGACGTGACAAAACGGGCTCTGTGCAATCTCACCGAGACGGAGCTCCCATGCCGCATGTTTGGTGCCCCTTGCAGACACCGCGACGAGGCGGACGCGGTGTCCCTTCCTCGAACCGGCCCGCTGGAGAAAGGAAGCCGGACCACGGATGTGGCTACAAGCGGCTTGCTCCATTGGGCCTCTGAGGCTATATATGCCCCCCCTTTTCATGATGAGCTGGAGGGGGGGGGGGAGGGGTTCGAACCGGTAGTGACCCCCCCCGGTTTTCCGGAGGGGGGGGGGGGGGGAGGGGTTCGAACCGGTAGTGACCCCCCCCCGGTTTTCCGCCAGCAGCGGTAGAACACGCTCTTTCCTATATATGGGCCGATAATACACCCACAGGTTGCTGAGGTGGAAACACCAAGAACCCCACCCATGCCTTCCACGGAAAGCACTGCAGATACCAGGCGGTGAGGGGCGCGGAAAAAAGAAGGTGGGCAATGGTCTACGCCCATATCTCCTTTAAACGGAATCCCACCAGCCCTCTGGGCGTAGGTGGTTTAGGGAGTTTCCTCTTCCACCCCTCCCTCTTCCCCTTCGGTGAAGGGCTTAATTCCCTACCTAGGCTCTGCCTAGAAGGGTTCTTACTCTGTAGCTTAAAGGGGCCGGGCAGTGCAACCCGCCCCGGGCGGTTCCCCCGGTCCCCTGGGAGCCAAGCAAAAGCAACAGCAAAGGTAAAAGCAAACGCGCGGTTCCCCCAGTTGCGCTCCCTGGGTGGAAAGCAAAAGCAAAAGCAAAGTTAAAAGTGAAGGCAAAAGCGAAGACAAAGCAAACTCATAGCATAGCATATCATAGCATAGCATAGCATAGCGCAGCATAGCATAGCGCAGCATAGCATAGCATAGCATAGCCTAGCCCAGCCCAGCATAGCATTGCGCAGCATAGCATAGTATAGCATACCATAGCAGAGCAGAGCAGATCAGAGCATATAGCATAGCGCAGCACAGTATCCACTATTGTTGCTGCTATATATATACACATACATATATGTACCTGTATGTGTGTGTGCGCACGTATGTTCCATGTATGTTGTCCGATGCCCACCCGCCCCCACCGTCCCTTTAAACAATACAAGCCGCACTCTGCCTCCACATTTGGAGCATGCGCGACCAACCCGATGCGGCCCCCCAAACATCCCTTTTCAAAAAACCATGCAACAAAAACTTTGGGGCAGAGTCTTGAAGTAAGTTCGTGAGGCCCGCGGCGGGGGTGTCAGCATATCTCCTGCTGCGCGCAGGGCTACCATCCCTGACAACAAACCATACAACATGCACCTCGCGGCTACAGCTGGATCATGTGCGGCCATCCCGCGATCACTGTCAAGTGGTTTTTGACAGGGACGCGGGGGGTGGTGGCGCGTTGCCTGCCGTGCGCAGGCCCAACAGGCACAATGATGGGCACTGGTTTTCGACAAGGATGGAGGGGGCCGACATGTTTCCCGATGCGTGCCGTCACGTGCGCAGGCGGACCTGACGCACTCTGCACGCGCCTGGAACGCAGCGCACCTGGCGCGGCTGGAGTGTGCGGCACACCTGGCGCACTCGGAGCACGTGGCGTATCTGGCGCACCAGGCGTGCCTGGCACGCTCGGGCCCCAAGGCTGCCTGGCGCGCGTGGCGCACCTCGCCCAAACGTCGCGCAACTGGGGTCGGCTTTGGTTCACAGTAGCTGTCCATCCAAAGACGACCGCTGAACATGCTCAGGCTTGGGTGTTAGGTATGTGTAGTAGGGAAGGCGAGTGGGAGTGAGCTAGAAGACCTGCAGGCGGGTGGGTGTCTTGACCCCTCCCCCTAATTACCCCCCTGGACCTGGACGGGGCTGATTGCGGGTAGTGAGAGCGCTCAAAACGGTCTCGGCGAGGAAACCACCATCAGTTGTTTTTACCATGGTTTGGGCTCCATGTTGGCCCTTTGGGGGGGGGGGGGCTAAAAGAAGCTCCCCTTTTCTTTGGTCGATGTCCTCCAAGATGGCCCCAAGAAGCGCCCAGGAGGCCCCCTTAAGAGGACCCCAAGCGGCCCCAAGAGGCCCCCCGAGGCACCCAAGACGGCGAAGAGTTAAGAACCCCCCAAGGGCCGCCAAGAGACCCCCAAGGCGCCCCAAGAGGCCACCAACAAATGCCCAAGAGATACCCCAAGAGGCTCCGAGAGGCATCCAAGAGACCTCTGACCCTTTTGTTCGCCCTCCTCCTCCTGATCCTCTTTCTTCGTCCTGTTCCTGTTCTTCCTCCTCCTCCTCCTCCTCCTGCTCCTGCTCCTCCTCCTCCTCCTCCTCCTCCTCCTCCTCCTCCTCCTCCTCCTATTCACCCTCCTTCTCCCCACTCCCTCATCCACCCATCCAGCCTTCTCCGTGTCCTCCTCGCTCCTTCGCACGGTTCGGCCGTGCCCCTCTTTGCTCCCGCACTTCCCTGATCACCTCAACTCGCCTTGACATCATTTCTGGGTGGGCTGGTGGGGTTACTTTTGACCGCGACCGCGGCGAAAGAGGTCGGGCGGCGTCCAGGAGAGTGGCACACGGGCAACGGCCTAAATTCGCGCACAGGGAGAAGTAGGGGCGAAAAGAGGCAAGAGAAGGAGGGGAGAGGAACAAACACGAGGCGAGCCTCGCTGCCGCTCAAAGGAAGGCGCCCACCAGAAAGATCTCCCAGGCGAGGTGCAACACCAAAACGGCGGAATTCGAGTTGACCGACACGACGCACACGCCGAGGAGGATCGCCAGCGAACCCAGAGCCAAGTCAAGGTACCGCGGGTGCGAGTGACGGCGATGTCGAACGCCGTGGTGGATGTCGACCAACGCCATGCAGGCGCTCAACGGAGTAAGTGGCTGTTGGGACACAAGAAGCGTCTAGAATTTGCACTTTGAGCCGTTCACCCGGCATCGTCATATGACCAATGCGGTGGCATGGGCTGAAGTTCCTCTTCTGGTGGTCGTATGGGACAATATGTCCAACTGCGCAGCTTGACCAAAAGAAAACAAGTTTGGAGAGTACGGTTCAGAAGAGCAGAACCCGTGCCCAATGTTACGCGCTCCTGGTGTTATGTATATATATGTATGTATATGCATGTCTATATATATACACATACATGTACATGCACATGTGCATGTACATGCGCATATGCATATACATATACGTGTATATATACATATATATGTATGAATATTCATACATATACATATACATAAACATATACATATACATATATATATATAGAGATATGCACATATGTACATGTATACATGCATGTGTGTATGTATACGCGCTGCGGTGTGAGGGCCAGCGGGCGGTACGGACCTGAGCGTGCTGGTGCACCAGAAGCGGAGGTGACGCATACAATCTGAGCCTGGCGCCAAGAAGCAGCACAGAAACTCGTTCGAGCGACAGAGGAGCGAGGGACTTCTCTGACCAATTTAGCCGAACTTTCCAGAACATGACACAAAAGAAGTCCAAGGCCAACGGCATCCGAAGCTATCCTGGTTGCTCCTACTCCACGGCTCAGATGTGGCTCTCCACAATTCTCCTTCATGGATGCCAGTTCCCAGCAAACTTCCTCACTGCACTGAACGGGACCAGCTGGTGAAAGGTAGGATGTTCGAAAAAGTTGCTGGAGCACGCGCGGGCCGTCGCGCGGCCTTGGTTGTCGCGCAAGGACCACTCTCAGCATGGTTCCACCAGGCCCCGCGCAGTCTCATGCTACGGGGCCCATGGGCGTCCCGATGGCGAATCTGAAGACGCATACGTAAGCGACATCGACAGGTGAATTACCGCGTGCGGCAGCAGAACCCGCGCGCAACGCGGGCACAAATCCGCGCCGTCCTGCGGCCGCTTTGGGCGACGGCGCGACCCGCAGCCGTCGGCTGAGATGGAAGCGGGACGAGGACAAGTTCGGACGAGGACAGGTCGGGATTCTCTACCAGCCTGCGGGTCTGCAAATGCACCGGGCGCCGAGACCGTGCCAGAGCGTCCCGGAACGCTCTCGACAGCGTTCCGGATTCCTCGTCTGGAACGATTCAACCTCATCCCGTAGGCCAGCCTGATTGGCACCTGGGTCGAAACTGGTCCCGCGGGCGTTCACCGCCGGCGTCGTGGCTCCCCGCACCTCCTCTTCCCCACGGCACCGGCGTTTCGTCGTAAGCCGTTTTTCTGACGGTCACGGGGGCTGGCGAGGGCCCCCAGAGGCCGAAAATTGTAATAGGGCCTCGGGACACACAAATAGATAGACACAAATCCCAGGATTCCCCACAATTTCCCATCTTTTCTGGATGTTCGTCTCCCCCCCCGTTCCGACATTTCCCATTTTTCCTGGGAGTCGATGATGTGTCTGTGTGCTGGCTGCTTGCTCCCCCCTCCTGAGATTGGCAGGCCAGGCATCAAAGAGAGGCCGGCCCCTGCAGGGGTAGGAAGGCACCAACTATACACCAACACCGATCCTGGCCAGGATCACCCTGGGCCCAGGATCGGTGTATACGCCCTCCTGCCTTGCGCAAGAAGGCATATACACCGATCCTGGGCCCAGGGTGATCCTGGGCCAGGATCGGTGTTGGTGTATAGTTGGTGCCCTCCGAAGGGGGCGCCAGGCCTCAAAGAGAGGCCGGCCCGTGCAGGCCTCTGCGCCGATCTCTGCCCTGCCGCGCAGCTGCCCCGGGCAGGCCTGGGAGCGGCGACCGCCGGCAGGCACCTCGCGCGGGCCACTGGGCGTCGACCCTTAGGAGGGAGGGAGGGAGGGGGAGGAGGGAGGGAGGGGAGGGGGGAGGGGGGAGGAGGAGGAGGAGGAGGAGGAGGAGGAGGAGGAGGAGGAGGAGGAGGAGGCGGCGGGCGCCCGGGTGGCGTGGCAGGCGGCGGGCCGCGGCCTGGGCTCGCGGTCGCCACGCGGGAGGGCGGCGAAGGAGGGAGGGCGGCAGAGGATGGGAGAGGCGGGGAGCGCTCTCTCTCTCTCTCTTTTTCTGCTCCTCCTCCTCCTCCTCCTCCTGCGGAGGAGGAGGAGGAGGAGGAGGAGGAGGAGGAGGAGGCGGAGAGGCAGATGGCACGCATGAGGACACGCTAGTACCATGTGCCTCTGCTGCACGCGCCCGTCCGAACCGAACATACAGAACGAACATACTGTAGTAGCATCGTCTCCCGAGCGGTTTGGCCAGAAAGCGCCCCCCACTGAGCTCATGCTGCAAGATGTCTCGGCACGCGCGTCGCCCCTGAAGGGGCGACGTACACATACTATTAGTATGTCGGGGTGACGCCGAGAGAATCGGGGGCGGCCAAGAGGGGGGCGTCCAAGAGGAGGGGGCGCAAATCATGGCCGGCGGCACGTGCGCGGCCCAGGGGGGGGGGGGGGGGGCAAGGACGCATTGAAATCAGAAGAGTCGCCATGACATCTGAGGAAATATCATGGCCCACGCCATGATATCCCCACCCCCCTCAGTCATCACCGCCCTCTTGGCCGCCCTCGGGCAGACGGAGGAGGACGATCGCAGCGAGAAAGAGTCGGGTCCAGGACGGCGGAGCGGGGCACGGCCGGGGACCGGTGATGGGGAGGCGGCCCGGGCAGGCCTGCTGCACCACCATCATCTGCTGGCTGTGGCTCTGGTTCAGCATGGTCTCCTGCTGGTGCACCTGGCGCCGGCGGGCGGGACGCGGAGCCGGAGGAGAAGGCAGAGGGCACGTGCCCAGAGAGGGCTGGCGCTCCGAAGCATTTGGAGCGGTGGGCTCTGCGGGCCGTCTTCGGACTCATGGGGGCCCTCGCCGGGCCCAGAGGGAGCGTCAACGAAACGGCTCGGGACGAAACACTGGCCCTGGGGAAGTGGTCCAGACCTCCGGGGTCCACGCATTGGAACCATGAAGCGGCCGTATGTCTGGGAAGTGGAACTGGAGTGAGAAGGAACGGGAGGACACGTAACAAGATTAGTCGGCAGCAGCAGCTTCATGACGAGCAGAATGAGCATGATGATGATGATGGTGGTGATGATGATGATGATGATGATGATGATGATGATGATGATCATGATGGTGATGATGATGGTGATGATGATAATGATGATGAGGAGACGAACGGAAGAAGCCACTGCAAACGAACACAAACAATGACTTGATCGGGACTCTTATGTCGCTACGCGTTGATACGCGCTGGCGTACTCAACACAGCCTTGGCAGCAGAGCCCAGCATGCGCGCAGGAGCGAATGTGACGACCGAGAGTATGTGAGCGTGTGTGTACATTACGGCAGTCACAAAAACCGTCTCTGGGGAGCCGATCGCCTTGGAAAGCGGGCGACCGCGCGGTGGAACAACACCGATCCTGGAGGTGTGCTCACCAGGCCCGCATCAACTGCTCACCGCTCTGCTTACCGTGCCCTCCTGCCCGATCCATCGCCGCCTCGCCCCTGCGAAATCTCCACCTCCGCCTCGTCCCCTCCGCCTCGTCCAGCCTCCTCCTCCTCCCCCGCCTCCTCCTCCCTCTGGCCCCGGGTTCCCCGCAGGGGGGGGGGGGGGGGGCACCACCTGCCTCGGGAGGGCGCCCTCGCTGGCTGCTGGCTGCGGGCCCGCGGGGGGGCCTGCTGCTTGATCTGCATCTCGACCTGGTCCTTCTGCTGCTTGGCCTGCTGGTGGAGGTACTCCGTCTGCTGCTTCCGCTGCTGGTCCAGCGTCGCCTGTCCCTTGAGAAGGTGGCGCTGTTTTACTTCGCAGGCTCATCGTATGCGTAATCGACAGGCCGCTCCCTGGATGATTGCGGGGAAGAGGGCTGCGTGTGATCCTGCGTGGATGTCCCTCGGGAACCTCCTGGAAGCGTGAAAGGGGGCACCCCCCATAACACTGGGTGCAGTCACCACAAATGCCCAAGGCGCACATGTGAAACAAAAACAACAGCAGTCCACGGCACACATGCTGAGCGCTCGGTAAGGCAATTGTCTGACCGCGCCAGTCTCGCATTGCACTGCGATAGACACCATTCCTGCGATTCAGACACCCTAGAACTCACGTGTCGAAGATGTTTGGGTTTCAGCCGGTGTCTCAAGCTTTCTGTGTGACCCCAAAGCCACTTGGGGATTCTGATCTTTCCGAGGGGGTTCTAACTCAGCGTGCCTACTGCAACCCTGGGAAAGCGACAGAGGGACATCTGGAGAACAAGGATCGCGGAAGAGAGCGCCCCGCAGAAGCACCCACTGCCAGCAATTCGCAAGGTGGGGGCGTATCGCGAAGCGTGCTGCACTGTCCCACTTCTCCAAATTAGATCAGGCAAACGACAGGCAGGGGGAGGCGCTAGCCAAATGCTCAGCAGAGGAGAAGCGTGGTGCAGGTCAGCGGGAGCAGGGACATCTAAAGTGCTTAACTTAGCTATTGGGCCCCCTGCTGGTGGCTCTGTTGCTTAATCTTAAGATCCCGCCTGTATTCGAACATCGACTGGCTTCGGGCCACGCGTGCATAGTCGATGCTCACGGTACGAGTCGTGGAAACGGTTGAGGCAGGTGACAGCACCAGCAAGAGGGAATCATAGCGAGCAACACTTGTTCACATACGCGTCAGTCAAGCGCAACACATCAACATAAACAGGTCTTCTCAAGGCCAAGCTTCATCAAACTCACCCATTCCTCGCCAGGGCAAACTCTGGACAAAACTGGTCCACGGACCGCTTCTGGATACCGTCCTGACGAGCTGTCGTACTGCGTCTGGCCGTGTCGGGAAAGCCCTCTGGGGTGATGATCGCCCGCAACAAGGAAGAGAGGGAAAGAGAAGAAGTCTCTGGAGGTCTCCACGTGCCCCCGGAGGTGAGGCACCCGAAGGTCCTCGGAGGTCTGGTCCCCGTCCTTTCCTCCTGCTGTTACCTTTCCTCGCTAACAGACACCACCGCTTGGGGGACGTGCCCCAGGCTCCTGCGTTGTGCTGTATAGATGGATGCCCATTCTGAAGGGGCCCCAGGACACACAAATAAATACACACAAATAAAAATATCCCCCATATTTTCAAATATTTGCTGGGTTTCTGTCTTCCCACCCACTTCCCATATTTTCCTATATTTTCTGGGGGATCGAGGATTCATTGTGTCTGTGTGTTTTTTTCCCCTCCTGACATTTGCGCATGTATATAAATTTACACATCCCCGCCCCGCTGAGGGCAGGCAACGGACATCCTCGGGGGCACGTCCCCGAATCGATGACAATGGTGACCCCCGAAGAACTGGACAAAAGGCTGGTCCAGAGGGAAAAGAGAGCTGGCTCCTCCGAGGAACGACGGATGCTTATGGACGGCTTGCATGCTTTTAATGTTGCTGACGTTTCTGGGTCGCTCCGCAGCCTCGCCTCCGCGTCTGGGTTTCCTTCAAGCCTGCGGGAAAAAATACGCCTCGAGGAGGTACGGGGTCCGATTTGAGAACGAGAGACAAACGATGTCTTGATGTGCTCCATCCCTAACGCTGTCTTTGTCGGGGCAAGCGGCAATCAAAAACCATTCGCGACAGAGTACGAGTCCTTGAAGATCCTCCGATTAACAAAAGCACGGCGTCAGGGGTTGGGGTCATTCTCCTCTCCCTCCTCCTCCTCCTCCTCCTCCTCCTCCTCCTCCTCCTCCTCATACACCCCCTCACTCGCAATGATTATGCTGCTTGCTGGGAGTCCGAGAGCCCCCGACAGACCTCGCCTCTAGAAACACCAGAACACGTTTGACACTCCCTGGATTGCGGCCTCCTGGGGAAGCCAAAACGTACCGATACCCGCTACTTCCCGGACCGGGGTGCCTTCCGACCAGGATTCCGAAGCGAACCCAGCGGTTGCAACGAGGGCCGCCCAGGAGGATCAAAAAGGGGAAAACGAGGGAAGGGTAGGGGTATGGGTACCTCTTCCTCCTCTGGCAACCTAGAAGTATAAGCAACCTTTGTAAACATATTATTTCGGAGGCCCGTGCGGACTTCGCAAGTCGGCCCTTGCAGCCGGCAGCAGCGCGGGAGGCGTCCACCCAGGGGGGGACCACCGACGACCCAAGAGTTCCGCGCGGGCCTCCGAAGGTGCACAGTCGACCCGTATCATAAGGATGCGCGGTAAGGGCGCAAAGGGCCTCATGAGGGCCACGTTAGCGTTTTCCGAGGTTGGCCAGCGAGAGTCGTCAAGGATGGGCTTAAGGGGCAAGGATGCAAGTGTACCCTCGGGAAGGTTGCCTATCCTTGCTATGCGGGTTGGCTGTATGTTTCATATGTGGTTGGTTCCTCCCTGAATGAAGCAAGAGCACATCTTAGACCCGATGTCCTGATTCTGTCGACAAGGGGTCCCCAGTAGCGTGGACACTTTCCCCAGGGCCGACTTTCCACAACAAGTCGTTGATTGACCGTCCCGGGGCCTGGTGAGGGCCTCTGGATGCCGAAACTGTGAATCACTTTCCTGTCGACTGGTCAAGACGTTGGAGGTCTTGGTCACGGGGTCAATACGTACTCGACTCCCTGACCGCTCTTGGGGTGTGTTCTGACCAGATTTCCGATGCAGAATCAACCTGTGGCAAAAAAAACAAAGACGCACCAAAAGAACTCGATCCTTGATCCTCGATCCTCGATTTTCAATATGCTGGAGGTCTGGAGTTGCGCACTGAGATCAGCACTGCATCGCCGTTGCATCGTCCGCGCGTCCGCGATACTGGGGCGAGAAAGACCTTCACCCGAACCTCGGCGCAGAAACATCGCGGGTGCAGCGGCAGCACGGCAAGATCTCGGAACACCGCTTGCTCCAGCCCAGTCTGGGAGCGAGGGGGGCGAGGAGACGGAGGAGGGTGGAGGAGGGGGAGGATAGGGGAGGAGGGCAATGGGAGAGGAGGGAGCTCACGTCGAAGAGGGTATCATTGATTGTCGCATGTCTGTTTTCGGTCGCCGTGCCTGATGACATCATGGGAGCTCGCGGTTCCCCCCTCCTTCCCTCCCTCCTGAAGAACAAGAGGGAGAAAGGAGCTGGAGAAGACGGGAGGGGGGGGGAACGAGGAGGAACGGAGGGGGTGGAGGGCGGAGAAGGTCAACGTGTTCTGATTCGGCGTTTCGACATTAGGCGGAAGGGGGGAAGTGAGGCGGGGGGTCTAGCTCTGGACCTCTGCTTGGTGCGACTGTTTGCACCACCGCGTCCCATGAGGGTGAGACCCCACCTGCCTGAAACAGGCGACAGAGACAACCAAGATCTACTCCATAGGGGGGAGCGGGGGTGAGAGGGCCCGCGCCGATCGGCAACACGATGAATAATACAACGATCACGAGTTATGTTGTTCCCACTGTGCTTAAGAGCCACATCCCAGAAATAATTTCGAGTACCCAGAAACGTGTCGAAACTGTGACGAACGAGTACCGCCTTCCGGGGCCCGACGCGTGAAAACCCTCAAGGTTCGATACATTCTTGGTGCTCGAGATTCTTTCTGGTGGTCAAGGCTGAAGTAGGCTGGAACAACATACATCACGAGGAGGAGCAGCGCCGCCTGCTTCAGCTGGTCGTCCAGGAGCTTGATGTACCCCTCCTCCCGCGAAGGCGCGAGCGCGCGCGCCCCCGAGACCTCCGACGACCCGACCAGTGGGCGGGCCGCGGGCCCCCCCCCCCCCCGCGAGGCTCGCGCCCCCTGTGCGCTCAAGTCGGGCACGTCCCTCTGCAGGAGGAATCTTCAAAACTAGTCGCAGACTAGTCTCGGGTCGGGCGAAAGGGGGGGAAAGCAAAGGGGGGGTTTGAGAATCAGCTCACGTAGCTGATTCTCCCGGCGCCTCCCGGCGCCGGAGGCGGCTATGTATCGAGGAATGGGCCCCTCGGTGAGGCCGAAACCAGCTGCATGCAGCAAATTTCGTAACCCCCCCTTTCCCAATCCCCCCTTTCGCCCGACCCGATAGTCTGGGACGATCCTGTTTGTCTTTTGGCGTATTCTTAAAACTGTTTGCCTGGGGATTATTTACGTCTCCGTCCCAAATGCGCCTGTGGGAGGAGATGCCCGACCTGACCGCGGGCACGCAGCACGCTCGCGGCCGGGACCTCCTCGGCTGCGATCGCCCCGTGCGTGCCGGGCGGCTCTACGCGGGTGCCCCGCGCGGAACGCACGTGGGACCACGCATCCATGCTTAAGCTTAGGATGGGAATGTCCCCCATACAGGCGGATTTGGGAGGAAAACATGCAAATGTCTTCCCAGAAATAATATTAAAAAATCGTCCCCTGAGTATGTGTTGGCTATTTTTGCATAATTAGTCAGTCCTCCTGTAGAAGGACACGCCCGACGTAAGTTTATGCCGCACCTTCGGGAGGCCTTGTCTGCCCCGTCGCGCCCCCGTCCGCGCCGAGGCCGTGCCAGATCCGTGCCGGGCTCGTCGCATCCGCACCGAGTCCACGCCGAGCCCGCGCCGGGCACGGGAAAGGACGCCCGTTGCGGGGACGGACAGACGAGGCCCCCCGAAGATGCAACGCAGTCCATGTGATCGCACCAACACGAGGGCCCAGAGATCCGACGTCGTGATGTGTTCAATACGGGGTCCCCAGAAGCCTCGACCCATTCTCCAGGACTGGTTTGTCATCCTGAGTCGTCATTCGACGGTCCCGAGGCCCGGTGAGGGCCCCTAGAGGCCGACAACTGCGAAAAACCTTTGCATTGTTTTTTTCAAAACGTTGGATCTCTGAGGGCATGGGCGTGGAGATGCTCGCCGTTCGCCCTTGTCCGAGGCAGCGGGCGCCTCGTCGAACGCCCGGAAGGCTGGCCGCGCCCCCTGGCTTTCTCGGGAGCTCTCCGGGGGGCCTGCGTGGCGCGCGCCGCCGAAGGGATCTTCCGTCATACTCCTCGCCTAGGCCGCGGCGATACACTTCGGTCGGGCCTGTCCTCCTGCAGGCACATGTTGTAAGAAAACTGACAAATAGCCCCCCAAAAAATCAAGCATAGTCAAGACAGAACGCAAACATGTCCACTGACTATTGTTTGTTGCGATTCTCTATATCTTCGTCCGGTAGATGTTGGCACAGCCATGTGGCTCTGGTACCTTGAACCATGGATGCCTACCTTGCGCACCCTCCTGCCGATGACGACGCATCACCAGCTCGGTGCCTAGGCATCGTCACGGATATGCCTAGGCATGCTACGATGATGCGTAGGCATCTGTAGAAGAAGAAAAAACGCCATAACCATAAACTTCTGGCGCTCCGCGTGGATTTCTTGGATCTGCGCTGGACGACGAGGTGGGGCCGCCGAGCAGGGCGCTCCCGTCTGGCCGGCGGCCGCGTGGGGGGCCGCCGGCTGGCACAACTGCCAGCCCTGCAGCTCTGCCGGCTGGCGAGCTGAAGCCGAGAGGCCTCGAAGGCTACCCTCAGCGCCTCGCCGGGTGCCTCCTCGGATTCACCAAGAAAGGTCTAAGGAAGATCCCGGAGGCCTCGCGCGGCAACTTGAGACCCGATGTACCTCGGATCCACGTCGGGGTTGCGTCGGGTTCACCGCGGAATACGTCGGAATTGCGTCGCATTTTGAATGGACTGACTCTGGAGCATCGCCGCGCGAACGTCGACCCATAGCCTACGGAGCTGACGTGTGGACTAGATAATACTACCATTACGCGCCGCGCGAGGCCTCCAGGATTGTCCTCATAAAGACACGGCCCCTAACCCCTTGGGAGGGGACCTAAGTTAGGAGGGCCAGAAACATGAGGGTCAGGTGGTAGTAGCGGCAGTGGTAGCAGAACCAGCGGTAAGCTGTACGAATAAGGATGACGGTACTCGCAATGAGAGCAATGATAGCGGTCGTCGTGTGGTCGCAAAGGAAGTACAAGCAGATGTGGCAGTATTGCATGTTCTAGGCTAACGCCATAATGGCAATTACAAGTGCTTTGCCTTGGTGGTAGTAGTAAGGTAGTAGCAGCAGTGATTGTAGAGGAAGTGGCAGTGGTAGGACATGAACTATCAACAGTAGCAGAAGGAGACATGAGAAGAGGTACGACGCCGCGCGCTGCCCTTCGCTGAACTTCAAAACCCTGGGGGCTGCTCGCAGCTCGCCCCTTGGCCCAGCGAATAGGTGAGCCTGCAACATGGCGAAATACCCCAACCCTGCGCAGTTATACACAGCCTGCGTGGCCACCTCAGCTTTCTCGATGAGATCAATGACCGATCACAACAAAGACATGTGGAACGATGAATGTTCACGGACGGCATGCACGCAGGTTCCAAACTACCCCCGCGTCGACCGCACATATGGAAATAACAACCACATCAACAAAACGAGCAGAGGTCTCGGAACACACAATCCCTATGTCCAGGCCATACCCCCTTATGCTAGAACGTAGTTGGGGAACTATCTAACAACAAAAGCAACACACTTGCCACATGAACAACAGACACGATATGAGCAACAATCACACCAACATATTCGGCAGATGTCTCAGATCGGACAATATTCAAGGCTGTGTAAGAGCCCCTTATGCTAATTCATCTTCGGGGGACAGAATGACAACAAAGCGTGCAGAGGTCTGGAAACACGCAGCATTTATGACTAGGTAAGAACCTCCTCTGCGAAAACAGAAGCCAACCTCGCTGCAACAATAATCTCAATCCGAGACCCAATCCAGTCTGAGACACCGAAGTGAGCACAAAACGGACACGTCATCGGAATCGATGTGCGCAACCTCTACAAACAAATCCCGATGCTTCTGTTCAGCGGGTGGCATCTCTTTGTATCAATTCCGGCGCTGACAGCCGCACTCGAAACGTTCGCGCTACCAGCAAGGAGCGCCACTCAAGCAGCCCTGACCCCCCCAGTTCAAGCACCCCCTTTGTCCCATCCTGGGACTCGTTCCGCTGGATCAGCTCTTTGATCCAAGATCGTTTGGAGGCTTGGGACTGGGCACCAGCACCAACACAGGAGGGTGCCTTCACCAGGGGAAGACGACCCTAGACTTTGGTGTTGGTGGTAGTAGCCTTTCGGCCACACAGGAGCCGGAAGGTTACCACCATCACCGAGATCGGGATCATCTTCCCTCGGTGGAGGCTCACTGCCGATACTTGTGCTGGCGTCAACCTCTTGGCATCCGAACCTTGAGCAGGGACCGACAGCCGCGGCAATCCTATAGGCCTGCTACGAAATTCTCTTAGAACCCCACAAAATTTCGAATCACAAGAACCACTCTCTCAGAACATACAGTAAACCCGGTGTATTAGAACGAGACGGTCTCAGCCAGCACTGCTCTGAGAGCATCTCGTGCAAACCACAGGAGGCTCTCAGAAGATGCCTTGCTGGGCCTATGGGCAAGCCGGGACGCCTCACCGATGCCTGAGGAGCGTGCTCCCGCGGCCCCGTGGCCCCGCAAAGAGCGGCCCCGCCGAGGCCAAGGCCGAGAGCGCCAACACACCGCCTCCGCGGCGCGAGGGCACGGCCCCGCGCCCGCCGGGAGCGAGCGCGGGGCACCTGCACGCGGACCGCGCCCGTGCGGGAGGGCGGGGCAGCGGGGAGTTACCGGCTTGAGGCATATCCCTGTCCCCGTGCTTGGCATCACCTGACCACGATGACGATCTCAAGGGTTGTCGCAGTTTCGAAGGGCACATCCCCAACAGAGTCATCGCTTCTGCCCTGCCCCTCTCAGGGGCAGGGATCAGGTCGAGTTTGGTGAGGAAGAGAGGCCGCCTCGAGGGGGAGGGAGGAGATCGGGTGCTTCTAGACGTGCCCCTGGCCAAGGGTGCCCTTCCGTAGCTAATCATGGGAGCCTGGTGTGCCCTCTAAATTCCGTCTTCAGCGCCGGCTAGCGTCGACTAGCGTCTGGGAATCGCTGAAATAGTTCCGATTTAGCCTCGGCTAGTGTCGACTAGCATCGACTCGCGTCGATTTGTCTCGATTTAGCGTCGACTGGCGTCGATTCGCAAAGGCCGTTAAGATGGTATGGGAGGCTCCCGTGAGTTGCCACCGGAGGTGCCCCAGCTTTTTGCTCCATGTTGGAGGCCCTGGGGCCCCCCTGGGCCTCGTGGGGGCACCGTTGGGGATCCCGGGGGCACCTTGGGCCAGGGGCACCTCTGACAGCACACGCAGAGAGGCCCCGACGGAAAGTTCACGGCCCACGACGCGGATGGCGCCTGCTCTGCTTTGTGACTCCGCGCGGATCGATCGCTCCCGTTTGAACGATCGCGGCTTTCAGGGACCGACCGTCCATGCATTCCTATATGCCTACCACGACTTGTTCTCAGAACCCCCAAATGTTCTCAAACAAAACAATGTTCTGAGAACATAAACATGTCAACACAAGACATTAACAACCAGAAATGTTCTAACAACCTTCCGTGAAGACCACAAACAATTCTCTGGTGGGCCTACTGTATAGGGGAGCCGGGACGCTTCGCCACTTCTTGATATCGGCCGATGTCCGGGCCACCAGCAACATTCCACTTCGAACCCCCGTTCTGGGGCGGGCCGCTGTCGTCGAAAAACCTCCGTCGCCGAGCTGCGCGAGAAGCGAGCGAACCCGTGTCCACGCGCGCGCGGCGTCTGGATTTCGGGGCGGGGTTGCGTGGATACGCGGTCGCATGGATACGTTCCACGCGGGGCTTCCGCGAAAAAAACGTCCCGTATCCACGGGGTCGCGGCCCAGGGGCCAAGCCCGCGAGGCAGTGGATACAGATAAAGTTCTTAGCCGTGTAGCGCGCGGCGTGACGCCAAGCTTGCAAAAAGCAAGTCTGGCTCTGGTCTGCCTGGTCTGGTTGGTCTGGTTTGAGCTTCGTCTTGCAGCCTACGCTTAGGATCTGAGAAAGTGGTTTTGGGGAGGTCCAGCGAGGCTGCGCCAACCACCACGACGACGACCGAAATGCAGTTTGTTTTCCATTGCAGTTCATTTTGCTTTGCAATTCTGCTTGCATTGCAATTTTGTTTGCATCTGGTCTGGCTGGTCTGGTTTGAGCTTCGCCTTGCAGCCTTAGCTTAGGACCCGGGCGAGTAGTTTCGGAGAGGTCCGGCAAGGCAGCGCCAACCACCACGACGACGACCGAAATGCACCTGTGTTTGCATTGCAGTTTTTTTGCATTGCAAATATTTTGGCATTCCGGTTTTGTTACATCTGGTCTGGCTGGTCTGGTTGGTCTGGGGTTTGAGCTTCGTCTTGCAACCTTAGCTTAGGATCCGAGCGAGAGTGGTTTAGGGGAGGTTCGGCGAGGCAGCGCCAACCATCACGACGACCGATTTGCAGTTGTTGTTTGCTTTGAGGTTCTTTTTGCATTGCAATTTGTTTGCATCTGGTCTGGCTGGTCTGATTTGAACTTCGTCTTGCAGCCTTAGCTTAGGATCCGGGCGAGTGGTTTAGGAGAGGTCTGGCGAGGCAGCGCCAACCAGCACGACGATAAGAATGCAGTGATTTTGCATTTCATGTTTTTTCGCACTGCATTTTTGTTTGCATTGCAGCTTTGACGTTCTAGCTTCAGCTTTGGATTCCACGTTCGCGGTGAGAGCGGTTTGGGGAGGTCCAGGGAGGGTCTGATGCCCACGGCGCCAACGATCATGATCAGACTTGCAATTTTCCTGTATTGAATGTATGATCTTTTGCGTTGCAATTTGTTTTTGCATTGCAGAGTTGCTGTTCTAGGCTTTGGATTCCGCGTGCAAGGCGAGAGCGGTTTGGGGAGGTTCAGGGAGGGTCTGAAGCCCACGGCGCCAACGACCATGATCAGAATTAAATGCGTTTCTGCATTGCAATGTTTTTGCGTTGCAGCTCTGCCGTTCTAGCTTCAGCTTTGGATTCCTTGAGCGAGGCGAGAGCGGCTTGGGGACGTCCAGGGAGGATGCCCACGGCGCCAACGACCATGATCAGAATTACAGTTGTTTCTGCATTGCAGTTGTTTTTGCATTGCACTTTTTGTTTGCATTGCAACTTTGCTGTTCTACCTTCAGCTTTGGATTCCGCGTGCGAGGCGAGAATTGTTTCGGGAGGTCCTGAGAGGGTCCGATGCCCACGGCACCAACGACCATGATCAGAATTAAATGTGTTTCTGCATTGCAATGTTTTTGCGTTGCAGCTCTGCCGTTCTAGCTTCAGCTTTGGATTCCTTGAGCGAGGCGAGAGCGGCTTGGGGACGTCCAGGGAGGATGCCCACGGCGCCAACGACCATGATCAGAATGACCATGATTTGCATTCCGCGTGCGAGGCGAGAGCGGTTTGGGGAGGTGCAGGGAGGGTCTGAAGCCCACGGCGACCATGGCGTCTGGAGGCTATCTTGGGCGTCTTCGACCGATCGATCGGAGACTCGGAGCCCTCTTGGACCATCTTAGGGGTCTCTTGAGGCCGTCTTGGAACGCTCTGGGGGTCCGGAAAATCGCCCCAAGGAGTTCCGGCATCCTTGGGCGGATCTTGCCGGGACCTCGCTGGGGTACTTATCGCCCGGGGACTTCCAGGGGCCGGCCCGCGCGCGAGAACTACAAATATCGTGTGCCAGTTACCGGAGATTTTAGCACCTCTGGCCCGTTGGGCCGGCGAATTAAGGTTTTAGAAAGGTTTCGGACTCTTGGAGGCCTCTTGGGGCGCTCTTGGAGCCATCTTGGAGCCATCTTGGGCCCTTCTTGGGCATCCCTTGGGCCATCTTGGAGGCCATCGACCAACAAAGAAGGCGGCGTCAATTTGGATCCCCCCGTCGGAACCCTCAAAATCGTCTCTTGGAGCTCTCTTGGGACGTTCTTGGGGCGGTCTTGGGCGCTCTTGGGGCCGTCTTGGGCCTCTCTTGGACCCCTCTTGGGGATCTCTGGGTCCATCCCAGAGCCATCTCGAGGCTTCCGAAGCCCAACCGAAGCGAAAAGGCGAGAAGGCAAACAACAACATTGATTCAACTTAGGTTTTGGACGGTTGTTGGCCTCTCCAGGGCGTCCCTGGGAGGCCCTTTGGCCACTTAGAGCCATCATGGAGGGATCTTGAAGCCTCTTGGAGGTCTGTTGCAAACTATATTAGGCCATGTTGGGCTATCTTCAGCGATCTTGGAGGCCATCTTTAGCTCCTTGGGGCCTTCTTGGAGCCATCTTGGGCCATCTTGGACGCTCTGACCGCTCGCGAAAGGCCCCGTCCAGGCCCAGGGGGAGGGGGTACCGAAGAGGAAGAAGGGGGTTGGAAGAGGGAGATATCAAGACCAGGGCTGGTGGTATTTTAGCCTCCTCTTCTGGGACCGTCAGAATCGCCTCTTGGGGCCCTCTGGGGCCCCTCTTGGTCGATTCTTGGAGGCCTCTTGGGGCGTCGTGAGCGTCTCTGGGCAGTCCCGGGAGCCTCTTGAAGCGTCTTGGCTGCCTCTGGGGGGAGAGAGGCTCTTGAGGCCTCTTGAGGGTCTCATTGAGACCGCTTGGGAGTCTTTGGAAGCCTCTTGGGGGTTTCCTTGGAGCCCCTTGGGCGCCTTTTGGGGCCCTCTTGGAAACCGAAGGGGCCCTCAGGGCCCTCTTGGGACCATGAGAGAAAGAGATGGAGAAACAAGTAGAGAGCCCAGAGAAGGAATAAAGATAAGGAGCCGCGTCAGCTGCCATATCAGTTCCTCTACCCCAGAGCAAAGTAGTGCGCTGGGGCATAAGAACTTTTAGCTTCAAGCGGCTTACAATCACCAGGGAGCCGGAAAGATGCAAGGCTGGGGTCACCTGCGGAAGATGCGGAGGCTTCTTCGGAGGGCCGGCTGGCCCTAATAACGAGGGCCGAGCGCCGAAGAGACGCCCAACCGGGTGCGTGTTTCCCACCCGAGCTGGCCGCGTCACGTGTATTCAGCGCTTCCCAAGTGTACAGCGGAGGCCTGTCCACAAGAAAACTAACCCTGAGATCCCAGGACGTCCATTGATTTTTGGTGTGGGAACGTCACGCCTCCCATCGCAAAACCATCGGAACCCGGCACCATGGAGGCGAGCAGGGTGTTTCTTGGCATGGGTTTCCACTTTACGGTGCTTTGTCGACAAGCCGCCGTCGTGGAAGCGCACTGGGAGCTCGTGGGTCCGAGGAAGACCCAGACGACTCGTCGCGCTTTTTCCACAGCATGGCTCCCCAGAGGTCTGGATCCCTTCCCCACGACCGGCTGTCCATCCTGAGTCGCCTTTTGACGGTATCGGGGCTCGGTGAGGGCCCCCCCCGGAAGCCGAAAATTGGCAAAGACCCTCTGCCGTGATGTTTCACAGCGACGGCATGTCATGGGAGCAGCGAGGAGGACAAGCCGCCCCGCAGTCCTTCTGCTTCGCGATCGCCTCGGGTGTCGGCAGGCCCTGCGTCAGGCTGGCGGGCTGCTGGGGCGGCCCTGCGTCGGGGGAACAATCGCAATTCAGCACGAGGGTTAGGTCGGGCACGTCCTCCAAAAAGGCGGAAGTTGGAAGAGAAAAAAGGACCCAACAGCCAAACACAGTCATGATATACGAAAACCATGGCGCAAGACAGTCGAAACGTTGCCCACAGATTCCTCCTTGGGCGCCCGAGTTATCCGGGGTAACTCGGGTCCGGGGTAACTCGGGTTCGGGTTCCCGAAAACACGAACCCGAGTTATCCCTGACCCGAAATACCCCTGATGATTCGGGGCTCTGGACGCCCGAGTTATCCGGGGTAACTCGGGTCCGGGGTAACTCGGGTTCGGATTCCCGAAAAAACGAACCCGAGTTATCCCTGACCCGAGTTACCCCTGATGATTCGGGGCTCTGACCTCCTGCAGAGGGGCACGCCCGACTTGACACGCAGTCGACGGGCCCTGGAGGGAAAGGGTCCTGGAGGCCCGGAGCGCTGCGGCGGCAACTCCTCCAGGGCCCCGGTTGCCCTCCCCTGCGCGCCCCGCCGGGGCCGTCCACAAGAGCTCCTCCCGGCGAGCAGCGTGCCAGTGGTGGGGGGGGGAGGAGGAGGAGGGGGAGGAGGAGGAGGAGGAGGCGGAGGAGGAGGAGGAGGAGGAGGAGGAGGAGGAGGAGGAGGAGGAGGAGGAGGAGGAGGAGGAGGAGGGAGGAGGAGGAGGAGGGAGGAGGAGGAGGAGGAGGAGGAGGAGGAGGAGGAGGAGGAGGAGCGAGAGCGAGAGAGGATAGAGGTCCGTCCCTGGCGTCGTAGCCTGGGCTCCTCGGCCGCGACCCCGTGGATGCAGGGCAGCATTGCGCGGATGCCCCGCGCGGAACGTACCCGTGGGATTGCACATACATGATCCAGGGTTGTCCCTCCATCATCCCTCCTCCTCCTCCTCCTCCTCCTCCTCCCTCCTCCTCCTCCTCCTCCTCCTCCCCTCCTCCTGCACTCCTCCTCCTCCTCCTCCTCCTGCATATCCTCCTCCTCCTCCTCCTCCTCCTCCTCCTCCCTCCTCCTCTGTCCTCCTCCTCCTCCTGCTCTCCTCCTCCTCCTCCTCCTCCTCCTCCTTCTGCATCTCCTCCTCCTTCTCCTACATCTCCTCCTCCTCCTCCTCCTCCTCCTCCTCCTCCTCCTCCTCCTCCTCCTCCTCCCTTGCACGGTAACGGCTGTCCCCCCCATGCATCTGGGGTCGAGCCCTTCCCCCCAACTGGAGGGGGGTGCCCGTCAACCTCGCGAAGGCCTTGCGAATGGGATCGCTCCACCCCTCCGCTGCGGTCGTGGCCCTGTGGGCGTGGCGTGGTGTGGTGGAGGATGCCGGTGCACCCCCCCCTCCCCCTGTGGGTGCAGGGTGGTTGTTGTTCGTCGTCGTCGTCTTCGTCGTCGTCCGTCGTCGTCATCGTCGTCGACGTCCGTCGTCGTCGTCATCGTCGTCGGCGCCGTCGTCGTCATCGTCGTCGCCGTCGTCGACGTCCGTCGGCAGCGTCGGCGTCGGCGTCGGCGTCGGCGACGGCGTCGGCGTCGGCGTCGGCGTCGGCGTCGTCGGCGGCGGCGTCGGCGGCAGCGTCGGCGTCGGCGTTGGCGTTGGCGTCGGCGTCGGCGCGCGTGGGCGTGGGCGTCGGCGTCGGCAACGACGACGTCGTCGTCGTCGTCGTCGTCGTCGTGTTCGTCGTCGTGGTCGTCGTTGTCGTCGTCGTCGTCCGTCGGCGCCGTCGTCGTCGTCGTCGTCCGTCGGCGACGGCGGCGTCGGCGTCGGGGTCGGCGTGGGCGTCGGCGTCGGCGGCGTCGGCGTCGGCGTGGGTGTTGGCGTCGGCGTCGGCATCGGCGTCGGCGTGGGCGACGGCGTCGGCGTCGGCAACGACGTCGTCGTCGTCGTCGTCGTCGTCGTCGTCGTAGCCGTCGTCGCTGTCCCCCCCATCCCATCCGGAGAGGGTGGGGGCCTGTGGCACCCTCGGACCCATCTCACATGGGATCGCGCCTCAATGTATCCAGCCCGCCACGGCGTGGATACGGACATGGCATGCCTCGTTCGGGAAGAAGCATTCTCAGACCATGGCATCGAGCGAAAATTCGAGACGGCTGGTTTTCTACGCCTACGCTTTGGGCCCCTGCGGGTTCGATCTGGGCCCCAGGCCCGTGCTAGACAACGGCCCGAGGTGAAAAACTATTCCGAACAGAGATGGTCGGGAAGTCTGAGGAGTCCACGGAAAGAAACGATCGTGAGGTCGGGCGTAAGGTTAGATCTCCTCTGGCAACCAGCCTGGAGCCACTCGTTCCACTCATGCTTTCCGCCGACGCGAGTCGCTCTTGAGTCAAGCTGGAGTCGAGATGGAGTCGAAACAGGCTCGTCAGGTGGGCCCCCGAGGAGGCCCGCAGAACGACATCTAACTACTGTGAGGGAGCCTGAAAGCTCGACGGGGCTGGACCTCCGACGTCGTGTGTGTTGCTTTGTTTGTTGCTTGTTGAACTCTCATCACTGAAACATGATTATTGTTGATCCCCTCTCCGGTGACCATTGTGTTTTTCAATTGACATGCTTCCCTCAAATCGCGCTCTCGCGCGGGACGTCCTCACAATGTATTCAAGAATCGCGCTCTCGCGTGGGACTTCCTCGCAATTTATTCTGACGGCGCGCCCTCGACATTTAGGAGTTACGCTCTCGCTGTGAATTTCCTGACGATTGATTTAGGAATCGAGCTGTCGCTCAAGACATCCTCGCGATTCATGCAGGACGCACGCTTGAGCAACCCGCCTGCTCGACCTGGCCGCCTGGGCCCTCCTTCCCGAACGGCCTGGTAGGGTCTACCCGACCGATCTGCCCGTCTGGTTCTGCCACGTGTTTTCTGTTCCTAGCCCGTGCTCCATCCTCCTCCTCCTCCTCCCCCTTGTCCTTCCTTCCATCCGTCCTCTCTTGCCCTGCCTCAGGGGCTGCGCGAAATACACGTTGCAGGTAAGAAAGATCTACCCCCAAGGGGGTACGGTCGAGAACGAAGAGGGCGAGTATCGAGGGTTCGGGATACACGTGTCGAACAGCACGCGAGCAGATAGCAGATAAGAGCGAGCAATCTTAAGATGACTGCTGCTGCTATTGTTGTTGTTGCTGTTGCTGCTGCTTTTTTTGTGCAGCGTAGCTGCCCTGGGCGTCAGGACCCGCTCCCCGGGACCCGCTCTCTGTCCCGATAGTCGTTTTTGTGGATGGCCGGACCCGGGGCCCGGTGAGGGCACCGGAGAGGCCGACCAGCTGCAGAAGCCCTCCGTCGTGGTTCGCAAGAAGGATTGCAAAAAAAACGAAGGATTGCAAAAAAGGATTGCAAAAACAACGAAGGATTTTTTGCAATCCTTTGCAATCCTTCGTTCAGATGAGGATGAGGAGGGGGCAGACGGGCTCCGAGGACATGCTTGCAAGACGGGGAGCCCTCCATGACCTCCGCCTGGGGGATCGAGCCTCAGTCCCCCAGGCGGTGGGTATCGATCAAATCCCAGACCCGTAGCATTCGTGAAAGCGTTTGTAAACGCACCGCGGTGACAGGTTATCAGCGCTACGGACCGCGCAACTTTCGCTCGCGCCTCGATGTCACGCCTCAGAGCGCGTTCCCGATACGGGCACACAGTGCGACACCTCGCTGTGAGAAATTTAGGATACATTTGATGTCAACCTTTCAACTTCCTGAAAGATCCCATGTCCCTCTGCGGGCTCCCGGGGCCTCTAGGAAATAATCCTTGTCTGCAAGGCACCTGCTAGCGAGTTGTTTCTTACTTGACGCCCTACGTACTGTACGAGGTGCCCGCAGCCTGCTAGGCCCACCTCTGCAGCGCCGCCACACGGAGGCGGCACTACTTAATCCAACTCCCAATTTCGTAATAGTGCGCCCTGACGAGCAACAGGGTGTCCACGTGAGCACCCTGGGGAGATAGCAGTCCCACCGGTGCTCTCGGCGCAGGTGCTATATAACGAATTCGATCTCCCCCCTTTCCAGAGCCTCGTCTTCCCCTTATTTGGGCGGGGTCCACTTCCCCCCCATCCATCCCCTGAGGTCTGTGGGCTGGGGCACGAGGTGGCAGACGATCCGTTTGGCCTCAGATGGCTCCAAGATGGCCCTCGCTGCCCTACGACGACAACCTAGGAGATGACACCCAAAGAGGGCCACGATACACCCCCGAAACAAAATCCCACGAGGGCCCCAAGAAGGCCCCTGGTAAGCCCCAGGAAGACTCCGAATGATCCCCCGAATGATTATCCCGAGATGGGCCGTCTCGGGATATTCCGTTTCGGAAGGGGGGGGACGCAAAGGCTCAAGCCAGTAACAAAACGAACCTGCTACACGCCTAGAACCGAACCCCCCAGGTCCCCATTGTGGGGCCAACACGCTGCGTGGAGAAAAACCTGTGCAGCCTGCGCCAGTTCCAGTTCCCAGTCTCCTGCTGCCAGAATCGCGCTCCCGCGGCCACGAACCCACCCCCACGGAGGCTTCCCCAGATCGCCACCCCTTCTCCAGAGAGGAAGCTGCACCACCCCACGGAAGCTGCCCAAATAAGCCAGAAGGCCGCCACGAGCCGCCCAACAAAAATCCCCAACACGATGCATTCCTGGACTGGGACAGTGCTCCGGGGGCTCTGTTCGCCCACCCCGCCCTTTCCTGAAATTTCTGCGCTGGGCCCGCAGCCACGAGTCCTCGAAGGCAGCGAAGACTGCAAGGAACCCACAGGCAGTTCCAACGGCGCGATGTTCCCAGGATGGCCTCAAACAGCCCCCAGTCGTTCCGAGGGGGCTTCTCATCCACGAAATGAAGAAAGCGTTCCACGAAGGCATCACAGCGTTGAACCAGAACTCCAGCATCTCAATACGTGCTGCCTATTGCCAACTCTCCTCGCTTGGTGCTGCACGAACGATGTCGTCAAGACGGCGCCAGGATATTCCGATACAGCCCTGGGATCTCCAATTTGGGTGGAGGCCGGCGGCAGAGGGCGAAAGGCTTACGGATGCACAGAAGGCAAGCGACAAGGGAATCTTCGCCACCGTTCCGTTTGGCACTCAATGGAAAATCCCCAGGGAGGGGGTCCTCCTCCTCCTCCTCCTCCTCCTCCTCCTCCTCCTCCTCCTCCTCCTCCTCCTCCTCCTCCAAGAGGAAGGGCGTCCTCCCCAGGACCAACCCGACGCACGCACGCGGGCGACTCAGTAGCTCACGTGCACCGCGCTGCCAGGCCCGCACCCGGCGGGCACCTGCCAGACTTCTCGGAACTCCCAGTCTTGGATCTTCCGCACCCGCTTTCAGAGCCCCCCCCGCCCACCCCCAAAATGCCGGGCGTCTTGGTGTGTTTCGAGTGACCTCGAGGGCATAGCGCAACACTCTTGGGGTGGCCCGCGCGACTAAAGTCTTGGGCCCTTGGGAATGAACCATCTTGCGCGAAGGTTGCCATTTAGACCGCCAGAAGATCCAGAGAGACCCGTAAGAGGCCCGCAAAGCACCCCCAGAGGCCCCAAAGAGACCCCAAAGAGGCCCCAAAAGATCTCCAAGTGGCTTCACCAAGGCATCCCAAGACACTCCAAGAAGCATTCAAAGCGACTCTGACCCATAACCCAGTTACGAATGCGGAACGGGCCTAAGGTTACTAGAACAATGCATGTCCCAAACATGACATGCATCCAAACAAATACACCAGGATTTGTAGTATATCGGATTTGCACAGCTCCATAAGAACATGGTGGGTATAGCGAAGCAGTGAAGCAACTTTACACCTATGAAAAGCATGAGGATGTTGCGATGGATCAGGATTACAGGTACGAGCTGAACCAACTCAATGAACCAAGCAATCTGGCTCGCACAATTCTTGCTTGGAACATACTACACAATCAGCCAAAAGCAAAACTTAAGCTCGGTAATGCAAAAAAAGGTGGTCGGATGGCATCGGATCGGCTCACGCCGTACCACTACAAGCATCCCCGGTAACAGCATGTCGTTCAGCTCCACAGAGCAGAAACCATAACACATTTGAGGCTTAAAGACCGCATTGGAAAACTACGAGAATGCATGAACAATAAATGCGCATAACCCCAACAGCACACATGAAAATATAAAAAGAGCCACCAAAACACTAACATCGACACACACGGAATTACAGCTCAAGCGCTCATCGCAACAAGACCACACTACATCACACGCACCGAGATAGGAGGTGACACGACACCTAAAAGGAACGCTTGAGAACTACACATGGGGAAATTGTGAGACATGGCACTCAAATAGGGATACCATAAACCTGAATGGGGAGCGACATGACGCTAGAACGAACACTAATGTATCAAGCTAGCGTGTATCAGATACAAACCCACGCAACGCACATTACCCCATGTAATCGCCCGCACTGTGCTATCGGCCACCGTGCAGCATGCAAATCGCGGAATATGGCAACTACCATTTACTTGCCCCATCTCCGCTTGACTTCTGAATCATGCAGCGTACCTTTTCCCAGGCGCAGGCCATGTTTGAAAACACGCTGCGTTTTTTCATGTGCTCAACCTGGGAGGGGGAGACCGCGAACAGCCCCTGGAGCTCTGCTGTGCCAGCAGGCCCCGCGATCGCCAAGAGGGGCTCCCGAGAGTCCGCCAGAGGCGCCCCCCGGAGACCCCCAAGAGGAGCCCGAGGGGCCCCCCACAGGCCCCAGTCGGCATCCAAGAAGCCCCAGAAAAGTCTTACGAGAGACCCCAGCTCCGCGAGGCCGTGCGCCCACGACCCACCCAGGAACGGAGGCGGATGGGCCGAAGGACGCTGTCTCCGCCGACCCCCGCTTGCCAGGGGCGCAAGGGCGTGTGAGATGATTGGTCTAAATCCGGTTCGAGGGAGGGGGCCGGGGGTGTGGGAATATGGGTGGGGGGACGAGCTCTTCAATCTGCAGGGGCCTCCGCAGCCTCCAAGTCTACTCTCCGTGGCCTCTGGGACGCCCAAGATGTTGACTAAGCTGGCTCAAGCTGGGCTCCAACACGCCGAAGAATCCTCGAAGACGACCGCGATGGCCTCAAGACTGCCCAAGAGGCCTCAAAGACGCCAGTTGCAAAAGTTTCACGGATTGAGGGCGGGTCGTTTTCAAAATGTGGCTCTCGCCTTAGCGCCGCGCACATTCGCTCACAAGATTTGCAAGAGTTGCACGGATTGAGGGTGGCTCCTTTCCAAAATGTGGCTCCGCCTTAGCGCCGCGCACATTCTTTTTGAACAAATGCAAGAGTGTCACGGATTGAGGGCGATGCCTATTCAGAATGTGGCAATCGCTCTAGCGCCGCGCACATTCTTGTACATTGTTTGCAAGATTTTCACGGATTCCCACTATCACTGTACCAGAAATGCGTTTTGAAAGGAGTCAGGATTATGCAAGTGCAACAATTACGTTGACTCGCTGCGTCGAAGTTCCAGGAATAGCGTTCTGGCCAGAATCAAGATCGTCAACACGCAACCGTCAGGTTGATCCGTGGCGTTGGAATCCCGTGCAATGTTTTGGCATGCTTCAGGGTCTTCAAACGGTTGTCTTCCAACGAGGCAGTCCCATCAATGGAAATGCAGCGTTGTGGGGGCCTATAAGTAAGGAGCTTGGAGGGAGGGTTTATTCATTCAAGCATCGTTGATGGTTCTTGGGTTTACACTGGTCTCTCCTCCTCCTCCTCATCCTCATCCTCCTCCTCCTACTCCACCTGCTTCTCCGCCTCCCCCTCCCCCTCCTCCTCCTCCTCCTCTTCCTCCTCCTCCTCCTCCTCCTCCTCCTCCTCCTCCTCCTCTTCCTAGTCCTCCTTCTCCTCCTCCTCCTCCTCCTCCTCCTCCTCCTGGGGGTCGGCGGAATGGCATAAGCCTCTTGAACAAAATGACGACCCCGCCCGCGCCGCCTCAAAACTGTGCTGTACGCCTTTGACCCGCGGGGCGGGCAGAAGGGCCCAGCGCCTCAAGGTGCAGGGGAAGAGCGTGCCATCGCGAGGCTGGGGTTGCTGCAACAACGCGGGACGCTGTAACTAGGGGAACAAAAAGCGACATAACATAAAAACTCGGAGGTGGATCGGCGCTGGAGGCGCCGCCGGGGGGCCCTAGCGCCGATCCGAGAAATCCGCGCGGACCTCCGAGTTTTTATGTTTATATAACTTGTTGTTCCCCTAGTATTTCTTCCCCCCGCCTGTGGGCATCGGGGCCATCGCGCCCGGCGGCATCTGGAAGGTGTTGGCCCTCCTCAGTTCGGCGGCGGCACCGGGCCAGATCGTCGGGCACGATCGGGGGCAAGGCGCGACCCGCTGGTCCTCCTCCTCCTCCTCCTCCTCCTCCTCCTCCTCCTCCTCCTCTCCCTCCTCCTCCTCCTCCTCCTCCTCCTCCCTCCTCCTCCTCCTCCTCTCCTCCTCCTCCTCCTCCTCCTCCTCCTCCTCCTCCTCCTCCTCCTCCTCCTCCTCTCCCTCCTCCTCCTCCTCTCCTCCTCCTCTCCTCCTCCTCTCCCCCTCCTCCTCCTCCTCCCTCCTCCTCCTCCTCCTCCTCCCCTCCTCCTCCTCCTCCTCCTCCTCCTCCTCCTCCTCCTCCTCGACCCCTCCTCCTCCGCCCCCCGGCTGGCGTGGACGACCTCGCGACCCGGCTCTGCGGGATGCGTGGACACTCCGCTGCCGCACGCGGTGGCCCGAGATGGCCTGGGTGGCACGGTCGGACGGGAACGCTGGACAGAGGGAGCGAATGAGCTTCTTCTAGGCAACTGCGAGCCTCGGTCGCGGAGAGGCTCCACGATCGGAGTCTAACGACCGGCGAACGGCCCGAGAACCAAAGCCCCTCCCAAGCCCCAGGAGGTTCTTGGCTCAGCGTCTCGACTGCACGCCAGACCAGAGGGCCGCCCACTCGGCTGCCAGCCACCACGGGAGAGGATAAGCCGTGCGGGGCAGCTGGCCGAGCGGGGCAAGGATGGAGCAGTGTCGGCACGAGCCTGGGGCAGCCGGCAGCCCACTCCCACGGGAGCCCGGGGGCTTACCACTTTGCTGGTCCTCCTCGGGCGCCCTTCAATTGCGAGGGAGGCGCGCTGACCACCTTAGAGCAAAACTGCCGCGTGAAGGACGCGTCGCCAAAGTGCGCCGGCCACTCTGTGGGACCATCGTGCTCTGGCCCAGATCGAGCGCCCTGTTCTCTTCGAGGGAGGCGAGGAGGAGGGAAGGCCCGGGGGCGCTGCAGGGAGGCCGCTGGCAGTCGTTGACAGACCTGGGGGAGAGGCGTTCTGGAAGCTGCTTCTCTCCCAGGTGTCCTGGAGGACGGGGCCGGCGGCGCGACCAAGCCCAGAGGAGGGGGGGGAGGAGGAGGAGGAGGAGGAGGAGGAGGAGGAGGAGGAGGAGGAGGAGGAGGAGGAGGAGGAGGAGGAGGAGGCCTTCTGGAAGCTGCTCCTCTCCCAGGTGTCCTGGAGGACGGGACCTCCCACGGGGTGCGTTCTGACCAGAATTTCGAAGCGAATCCACCGGTGGCGACGAGGGCCTCCCAGGAGGCCCCAAGTGAGGAAAAGACGATGGCGAGGTAGCGGTGCGGGCACCTTTTCCTCATCTGGAACTCTCTGGGGACACCTCCCCTGCACCCCTGATCTGGCCACCCGCACCATGTGCGAAACCATCCGAGTTCATCCGAAGCAATTCCAACTCTAGCCGAGGCCGTGTAGACGCCACATCAACTGACGTGACAAAATTGTTCTGATGTTGGAATAATTTCCGGACCCTCTGAAGACTCCTATCATGGGAAGGCGGTTCCTGCGCTTCCGCGGAGCACTTCGCCTCCAAATTCAATAACACATGTTTTATCTCGAAACAGGGTCGACAAATCTTCCGCCCAAACCATCATGCAAAAGGGGGCGGGGCGCACGACCGCGCGCAAGAATGTCTACTCCGCCCGCTCCGCCTACCCCGCCAGGCGTCAGTCGTCTTGCATCCAAACCACCAAACACTCTCGTCACGGCGATGTAGTGTAGCAGCCGACGGAGTAATCGCTGCTGGTAAGAGCAGCGAACGAAGAATCCACCACCATGGTCAAATGGCAAAGAGGGCCCTCGTAATGGCACGACTCCGCCGAGATGCGGAGACCCGCTCGGCGGCCCGCTCGGGACATCTCCAGCAGCCCGCGCGAAGGGCATCGTGGACCTCCTCGCCAGAGGCTGCCCTGCTGGCGGCTCGGGTGTTGCAGGGATTCGTCCTGGCCCAGAGTGATCCTAGCTGCTCGCGCCGCTTTGGCGCCTCTGTCTGGGGCCCTCTGGACCTCGTGATGGTTGTCCTAGAAGCCATCTGCGCCTCGATGAGGAGGCTGGGGTCACCTGGGGCCAGGGACGCTGCTGGCAACGCCCGAGTGGTGATGGTGTCGCGTCTCCTTCCTCTGATGAGAACTCCACGAGATGCCGCCTCCCAAGAATTCCCGCCTCCCCAGCCCCACCGTGCCGTGGACGTCCGACGTCGCATGTCCTTCTTGGCGTGGGCTGGCAAGGTTTGGGTCGGGCATGTCCCCCTACAGGCGGACCTTGGAGGAAGAATGACAGATAGTCAAAAACATACCCCAAGTATGATCAAAAATCGTAAAACATTCGTCCCCCGACTATTTTCTACTATTTGTCAATTCCCCTCCTGTAGAGGTACACGCCCGACTTAAGGCAAGGTCCTCGACGCTGTTTCCCCAGGGCAGCTCCCGAATGTGGGTTCCTTCCTGCCGGCGGATCTGGGGCGCGAAAGGGGCCTCCACGGGTCGAAGACGTAGAATACGATCATACCCAGAGAACGAGGAGGAGGAGGAAGAGGAGGAGGAGGAGGAGGAGGAGGAGGAGGAGGAGGTGGGGAGGGGGAGGAGGAGGAGGAGGAAGAGGAGGAGGAGGAGCAGGGGGAGGAGGAGCAGGAGGAGGCGGAGGAGCGAATGAAGCCACGGAGGAGAAGGGGGAGGAAGAGGAGCAGGAGGAGGAGGAGGAGGAGGAGGAGGAGGAGGAGGAGGAGGAGGAGGAGGAGGAGGAAGAACAACCATGGCGCTTTTGAAACGACACGCTGGCAGCCACGCCACGGTGGGGAGGACAACGAGGAAGAGGAGGGGCGCCGCCGACAATGCGGCAATGCGTCGCTGTGCGAGCTACCCGGCACTGCCCTGGAAGCGGGCTGCAGTAGACACGTGCGATGAGAGATCGTGATATAAGAAATATTGGGGCACGTTCTTCGACGAGGTGCCCCAGAGCTCCCGTGGGTCCCTGGGGCCACCGGGGGATAAAGAAAATACGTGGACCACCTGCTGGCAGGCCGATGTCTCATGTGGTGCGCCTGCTGTAGCCTCGGCAAGCCTCGGCCACGTATATTCTCCAAACCCTAAATCTGAGGAGCGTCCCGAAAACCAGAGCCCCTCGCGAGTCCAAGATGGTCCTTATTTCAGTGTCTTGATTGTACCCCACCGCGCTCCTGCCAAGCGGTCGCCCCCCAGCTACGCTCGGTCATTCCCAGCGCCCCACGCCTCCCCTGAAAAAGGAGGGAGGAGGGGAGGGGATAAATACCGGGGCCCAGGGGCACACACAAATGAACAGACACACATCCCGGGATTCCCTGCACATGTCCATCTTTTTGGGGGGGCTTCTCTGGAGTGTCGCCTTCCCCTCCGCTTCCCCTAGGTCCTTGTACTTTCCTGTGGCATCGACGATTCTTTGCGTCTGTGTGTCGCCGTTCCTGCTGAAGCGGGGTGGCCACGGGGGGGGGCGAGCCGCCCCCCCCCCCCCCCGACGGGACGGGGGCTTGCTCCGAAGGGCCCGAGAGGCCCCGCGCGCCGAGGGGCCCTCAGCTGCGGCGTGCTGAACTGCATGCTGGCGGGAGGCGCGGCCAGGTGGGGCACGTGCACGTTGGCCCCGATCTGCGTCGTCTGCGCCACCAGCTGGGCACAGGGAGGAGGAGGAGGAGGAGGAGGAGGAGGAGGAGGAGGAGGAGGAGGAGGAGGAGAGGAGGAGGAGGGAGAGGAGGAGGAGGAGGAGGAGGAGGAGGAGGAGGAAGGAGGAGGAGGAGGAGGAGGAGGAGGAGGAGGAGAAGGAAGGAGGAGGAGGAGGAGGAGGGGGAGCAGGGGGAGGAGGAGGAGGAGGAGGAGGAGGAGGAGGAGGAGGAGGAGGAGGAGGAGGAGGAGGAGGAGGAGGAGGAGGAGGAGGGGGGATGGAAAAGAAACAACGGCACAAACATAAGCTTTCGACGCTCAACGCGCGGATGCCTTGGATCCTCGCTGGACTCCCCCTCCCCGGCGCGCGGAGCGCGCCAATGGGGCGGCGCCGGAGGCAACGCCCGGGGAGGGCCAGCGCGGATCCAGGACATCCGCGCGTGGAGCAGGGCCCGACCGTCCCGGCATTCCTGTAGGCCTACCACGAAATTTTCTTAGAACCGAAAGAAGCTCTAAGAACAAAAGCATAGTTCTTAGAACAGACGCCCGATGTGCTGAAGCAGGGAAGTCGCAGCTAGAACTGTTCCAACAGCACCTTTCGTGCAAACCACAAGAAAAGAGGTTCCTACAACATTCCTATATGTTTGGTGGGCCTGTATAAGCGAGCCAGGACGCTTCCGCCACTGCTTGAGCGCGGAGCGCCACCGGTTTTAGCTTATGTTTTTTTTGTTCTTCTTCGAACGGGGGCGCTGAGCGGAGAGCGAGTGCCCAGGCCGCCCCCTCGCGCCGTGACCGAAGCGCGGCGGCGCCAATTTTTTTCTTGGCCGGCTCCGGTCACGGTGGTGGCCCTCCCCGGGCCCGGGCGGGGCCGCCAAGACCGGCTCGGGAGGGAAAGCCTGTCCAAGGGGGGAACGGGGTCAAGACCTAGAGGGGTCAAGGAGAACGTCGTCGGAGGGGAGAGGGAGGAGGAGGCGAGAAGAGGGGCGAGGGAGGAGGGGCGGGGGAGGAGGGAAGAGGAGGGAGAGGAGGGTGGGCAGGACGGAGGGAGAAGTAGGAGGGTGGGCAATGGAGGAGGAGGAGGAGGAGGAGGAGGAGGAGGAGGAGGGTCAGAGGGGAGGGCAGGAGGGCAGGAGGTATGAGAGGTAGAGGGCAGGAGGAGGGAGGATGAGTAGACGTAACCTGAGGCGCGCCGACCCATCCGATTAGATGCTGTCGCGAGAGCCTTGCTGGAGAAAGTCCACGTCACGATCGAGCAGTGGCCGTGACGGGAGGAGGCCCTACTAAAGAACGATCGCCACGACAGGCCTGATAACTAAACCGAGCGGAAAGCCTCTGAGAAGGATCCCTGCCCGAGGCCGGGCCTGTGCATTCCGTGCAAGTGCACATCCCCCCTATTCCTCATCAAGCGCCTCCGCTCGCATAATTGTATTCGATGTCGGCTCATACCTTCAAACTATCGGCCACGTTGTGCGGACGCGGTTTAACAGAACAGGTCTTGCAAAACTGCGCCTGGACCCTGAGCGGGGCGATCCACTGTTTGCTTAGAACACGTCTTACAAACCAGCGGAGGCAGAGCATCCGCCGTGGCATTTCTCGCAACAACTTGCGGAATTTGGCACGGGCTGTTCTCAAAAACGCTGGTGGTAATCAATATGCTCCCCCACTTCTCCCACACCAGTGGCAATCCCACCCCCTGGCCTCAACAATAGAACAGCATACTGGTGCTTCAAAGCTAAGAAGAGGGAGGGAGAAGGGTGGAGAGAGAAAAAAGGAGAAGGGTGGAAAAGAGTGGATGGGGGAAATGAAAGGGAGGAGGGGGAGGAGGGGGAGGATGGAAGAGCAACAGAGGCTTTGACTGCACTTGGCTCGTTGCAAGTAGCTTGAGCGGGGCGGCCGCAGGTCGGCCAGGCGGCAGACAGAGCCCGCCTAGCGGGCACAACAAAGGATCTCGGCTCCTGGTCCGTCCGCAAGCAAAAGCGATTCTTCGCCATTGGACCTGCATGATGGGCGGGGGAGGTATTGGCACCGAAGGGGAGGGAGGGGGAAGAATGTGAAGAGAAGGGATCGGTGCCGTGCGAGAATCACTGAGCGCGCCATCTAGGCGTTGCCCTATGCGGGCAGCGCTGAAAGACCGAAGAGCAGCAAAGCTGGCCTCAGGAACGGCCACCTGGGAGCATGGCTTAGCCATGGATAGGAGCGGGATGAGTAGGAAGAGGGCCAAAATGGCAGTGCCGCGCTGTAGGGCGGCCGTGACGGAGCGGACCAGGAGGGAGAGGCTGGCATTGCCGCCAAGAGACTAGGAAGCCCCATCGGAAACGCACGTGACCGGTAAGGGGGGGGCAGGTGAGAGAGCGCCTGTGCTGTACTTGGCATCTTAGTGTTAACGGGGAAAGAGGGGATGGAGGAACTCAGTGGAAGGAGAGGGAGTATCTTGCCCAGCCAAGCAGCACTAGGGCGCGGTAGCTGTCCGTAGAGGTGCGCACCTCTGATGGGCAGCATTAGCCGAGAGTTACTCGGCAAATAGGATGTGCTGAGGCAGCATCTTTGCTTGCCGCAGCCTCGACTCAGCCGTGGCGAGTCTGCGAATTGCGCTGTGAGCATCGAGCCGACCGCTCTTCTGGTAGCGCGGCTGCTTAAAAGTGTCGCGTTGGCCGCAATGTTGCGGCAGAAAGGTGTGAAGCTAGAGACTGGTGCTGGCTACAGCTCTTGCAGCTGGCCCTTGGGATGGGGCTAAAGATAAAGAACTGAAGGGCCCCCTGCGACGAGACTGCAGGACGGCTCGGCCGACCTTAAATTGGAGCGGCACGGCTCCTCAGCTGGAGATATTCGGCTCGTGTGGCTGGCTAGAGCTATCTAGGTGGTGGGCTGCCGAGGTAAACAGAGACCAGGGTATTAATTAAGCCGAGGTGAACAGAGACTAGAGTATTAGGCTAGCCCACCACCTATGAGGGCGCACTATTAGTTGCGCCGAGGTCGCCCGCGTCGACCTGGGATGGCGCCGACTGGGAGGCAGCACGCTCTAAGGCCCGCTCGGGCACCGAAGGGCGACGCGTTGAACGGCGTAGGCGCAGGGGCCCTCCCGGCTGCCGCGCGGGCGGCCGCAGACGCCGCCGCTCGCGCCTGGGCCTCCTGCGGGGCGGCCTGCTGCTGGTTGAAGTGGCCCAGCAGCATGGTCTCGACCTCTGAGATGGTCGCCAAGCCTGGAGCCTCTATCCACTCCCAGTCCCAAGTTTCGACGACCTGGCCATCGATGACGTCGAGCGACTTGAGCTTCCACACGAACGGGTAGAGCATGCCATTTGGCATCTTCCACTCGCCAGGGTACGTAGCTGGCCACCATTTTTTGAACTCTCTGGTGGCGGCCGTGTACTGGGAGCCCTGCCATGCCGAGCCAGACTGCGTATCGCCTGATAGGCCGAAGAGCTCCAGCGCGTTGGGCGGCGCCCTGCCGGGCTCGGCCGCGGCCCCCTGCGGGGGCGCGGCCCCCTCCGTCGCCGCCGAAGCGCGCCCGCCCGCAGGAGCCATGGCTGCGTTGCGCGCGCTGAGAGAAGGGGGAGTGCGGAGGGAGCGAAAAGAAATAGCCCATAAGCCAACGGCCAGATATGAGTGAAACCTAGCTGGCTTATGCGTGCGCCTGGGTGAGGAGGACCCTCCTAATGGGCCGACTGATGCATGCTTGGCCCGGTGCTGAGTCGATGGGGATGAGGATGGTACCGCTGCGCATGTTGACCCGCAGCGAAAGGCCGGTGCGAAAAGGTATGCCCGTGCCGAATAAAATGGGCCGTGCATCGATCTCCTGAAGAATGGGGAGGTGAAAAAAGCGCGGCCTCTCCACAGAGGATGGCAGCCGGGTCTCCTGCCCGTGAAAGTGCTCCATTAGGAGCCCTACATTGATGGGCAGTGGAGACCAGAGCGGAATATGGCCTGCCGTAATCACTACCAGCCACTGTACGACTGTAGGCGGTGGTGGCGCGGCCTCAGTGGGGGCGCAGCGGACGTCGCCGTGCTCGAACTGCGGCAGGTGCTGCGCATCTGGGGTCGGCATGGCCTGAGGGGCTATGGTTCAGGGAGGCGGAGGATTCGAGAGAGGTAGGACAACGGAAGGCACAATGGCCGCACCAGGATCATGGCCTGGAAGTCTATTAGGATGGGGCTGCCAGCCGCTGCATCCTCCAAAAGACGCTGAGGGATGAGAGCAGGCTGTTCCCAGGCCCCCGTGTGGAGGAGGTCCAGAAAAATCTGGTCGGGCACGTAGACAGTGACCAAACCTATAGCGGGTGAGAAACGGGCAGCATAGGGGCCTTCACCCGCTGCGCGATGAGGATAAATGTGGAGTAAGTTGGGAGAGTTGGCCTCGCACCAACGCCCATACCACCGCTCGATTGTGTGATTAACGACATCGGGCAAGTCCATGTGGAGCTCGGGGCCTACGGTAGCGCGGGCGTGTGGCAAAGCAGGCGGCCCGCTCTCGAGCTGCCATGTAGCTTGCCATTGGGGTACCGAGGCAGGCTGGTACACAGTGGTAGGAGACGGTAAGAGAGCGTGGCGCCTCGAGCCGCCACTGAGAAAGCGGTAGACTTGCTGGTGGGCCAGGAGAAGCCGCTCAGCCAAGTACTCCCGAAAGGGCCAGGCGCTACGAAAGTCTGGCGGCAGCCGCTCCATAATGCGAAGCAGATCTAGGTGCCTCCCCGGAGCCGCTTCAGCAGCGGGCATGTCCTCGTCTGCGTCGGCGTTGCCCAGGGTGCTGAGCTCGCGCATCATGGCCTGTGGGGGGGAGAAGCGAAGGAAGAGAAGCTGGGAGAGGGAGAGGGGGGAAGAGGTAGGCCTGGGCTGAATTGCAGCTGCATGGCGTAAGTTTAACGCCTGGCAGCATCGCCTCCTTCACGAGGCTTGCGCGGCCGCCTGGGCGAGAGGCGCTGACCGCAATGCGAGAGGCTTTCGCCTTCTCTTAGCTGAAGCTTGAGGCGCTCTCTGTGTATCCTGTCGATACGGAGCTGGTCCTGCCTATG